CTACAGGGACGGACAGGTTCTTTTAGGGATCTGTGCTAGAATGAGGACTGGCCACAGGGTTGTAGTTACAAGTAGAGCTTCATTATTACATAAAATATTTAATGATCAGCATAGCTCATTATCTACGTTTTCTAGCATTTAGTGTAGCTTATTGTTGCACAAAGTTTTTATCAATGATCATACTTTCAGTTAAGCAAAACTTCTAGTAGTCAGTGTAGCTTTCTTTCTGTCTCTAATCTTTAGTTACCTAGACTTTTAGTTACTCGAACCCTCTGCAGATGGGTCAAATTCTTAATAATCAGTGCATGATGCAGTAATCATAATCTAGACTCATATTTTACCCAGAAGAACATAAGTCACTCAGTCTACAGAGGAAGAAGACAATAGTGGGTGCATGCTAGGGCACTGGAGGATCACAGGTTTTGCTGTCCAGCAACTGGTTTTACAGGTAATATCTCATGTGCTTTTACACTTTCCTGTTCCATAATGGTTGTCACCATATCCTGGCAGCAGTGTTCGGTCAGCAAATAGTCTTGTCACAATTCTGACAAGGGATCTGACTGCTCTGTAATCGGGATCATCACATCTTGGTGACAGCCACAGTGTTGGGAAGAGAGAAGGAGGTGATACTTGATCAGCATGCTTAAATTTTATGTTTGAGGAAATGGCATTGGTTATGCTAACCGTATTACTAGGAGTCAGGAGCAGGGCATACCGGTCACATGGCTTCAATGGCAAGCCTCATCTTAGTGTAAATGCATCTTCCTGAGCAAAAATCACATGCTGCACTCAAGCCCTTGAGGCATGCACATATATCACTGCCACCTCTGAGACAGAGACAATAATCCACAGCAGAAGGTATCAAACATTACCTTACTTGTGACTTCAGCTGTGAATGTGTGTCTGTGACCAGAGAGTCCTGTGGATGTGGAAGCTTCAGTTCCCACTCATTTCTCCAGAGCCCTAGGTCTGTGACTTGGAGAAAGTCCATGTAACTCAGTCAGTTTTATGTTATATTAAGCGTAAATTCTCAAGAAAATTGTCACTGGTCTTTTCTAGAAAGGTACTTATGTTAGCATAGGACTGAAGGGGAGTCAAAAGGCACCTTTGCAACATAGCTGTCGGGGAGGAGGGGCAAGAACCACCAATATGATCCCTTGCCATAGTACTTGCTGTAGTCCCAGACAGTTGAGCCCCAACATGATCTTTATGACAATCCAATGTTGTTCTTATCCCATAAAGGCTCATATTGGTGGCAAATGCTCTTCCAAGTTTACTGCAAGCAGTGCATGGTCCTTGTGATAATGTATTCATGACAGACGGTGACAAAATGTCTTCTGGACCAAGCTTTATGTGATTTTTGATACCTTTATAAACAGCAGTCAAAATGAATTGCTTACATAGTAACAAGCAATGCATTATGTTCCCTCAAGCCATCTTGTTCCTCATGTTTACCTGTGTCTGTCTTTTCACCCATGCAGTGGCCTATTCCATTAATAAACTAACTGCTATAATTTGCTTCTCTGACATGAAGGTCTTAATAGTACATTTAAGCCCTAATAGAAGTTCATCTATCAGCCACAGCTTGTGTGAGACTCACCACGGTGCTTGAGAAAATTCTTTCTGTGAGCAGTATATGGCTGGATGAGTGCCCCAGCAGTGCCTACACCCCTAAAGTAAACACATCTTCTCAGCTCACAGCAGAAGGTATTCCTATCTCTGTATTGGAAGAGCCTGCCTACTGTGATTGCAGCCTGCTCTCACTGTCTCTGTGACTCTTCACAGCCTGTCAGTTTTTCTATTGACACTTCTTCAGTTCATCACAACCTCTCTCTTTTCTGTAGGCTTGATTCCATAAGAGTGAAGTGCTTAGGCTGCCTCGAACCAGCAAATGGTACGTTAACTCCTCCGAAGCTGTGTGTTTGAGTCTGTGTCCATGTTCACTTCGTTAGCAGTTCCTTTTTATCCTTCTTTGGTTTACCTTCACATGTTCACACAGACAGCAATACGGAACTGAACAGGGAAAACAAGTCACACATGAAATATTCATGAGAGATAAGATAGATGCTTTCCCAGTTTGTCAGCTCTGTCTGAGATTCATCTCCTGGCTAATCTGTTGCAAAGTCTACTTATGTTCTGCAGGAGACTTAGTTTTTATCCGTGTATTTGTGTCTGAAGGCTTTATTTAATTCTTACTGTATTCCAAATGAAATACACCCTCTGTTTTATCTAGAAAATTGTTAGTTGCACATTTCTGCTAAAATATTCTCTTCTATCTCTTCTCATCTGTATGGCTCATGCAGATTTGGACCTTGTTTATGGAACATGTAAAGACTTTTCATTCCAATAAAGCTGAGTGATTCTTAGAGTTTTTTACTTTCCTTTTCCTTTTTATAGATAATTTTCTTTTGCATTAATGGTATTATTACACTATTGGAAGAATATATTGGGGAAAAAAAAAAAGACAAAGACAGGATTCTACTACCGTTTTTATTTTCCTGAAGGAGCAACAGTGAAGGAAGCAGGACGAAAGGCTTGCAGCCTCCAAATAACATCCTCTAACTATGAATAAGGAGTAAACTGAATACTAAGCAACAAACCAGGTGGTTTTTCTTATGCTTAGGCAAGAGTGACTGTTCCTTTGATGCCAAATATCAAAAACAGGCACAAACATTTTGATGGTATGATTCCTAATTAATTATTTCAAGTTATTTTCTCAATACCTAAGATATTTATGATATCTGAGTCCATTTAAAGCCCTTCACATTATAGCTCAGAACAGGTTTGTTCAAATAATGTTAGGCTCAGTGATCTACAGCACAAACACATCTTGACCAAATTTAGTAACTAGAGCCATACCAGGAGGGTAGCATGAGTGTCATGCTATTCAGGTGAGGGAAAAACAAAGTTGGGAATAAAGCCATCTAATCATAACTAGACTGAAGGCCTGGGAAAAATGCCTTTTAATTTCTAATCTGCATTATATAATGATGGAAACTATTGGAAAGTGGGTGCGAACTGCTTAACTCCCTCTGCTTTGATCCCTGTCAGTGCACAGGGACTGGCAATGGGGCTGCAAAGTGACTGATAATACATTGCCTGCATATTCTCTGGTGCTGCGCTCGAGCCTCCTGTTCAAACACAGCTATCTCTCCCACCTTGTTTGCAAACCAAAGAGTTCAGCAACGGTAATAAATTGGTACCATTTCTGCATGGGCACAGCATCATTATATATTGTCATCAGGATGACATACCTCCACGTGCAATAACGCATTGAAGCCTATCTCATGTTAACTGTGAATAATATGATCTGTTTGTTGCTTACCAACAGGATCTGGCCTTTAAAAATTTTAGGATCATCTGTTATTTCTCACACACTGGTATCCTGAATTTTGAAACTGTTTATCAGTAAAGAGGAGATCTCTATTCATTATATTTCAGCAGTAAGATAATTTTTTTGTGAAAGAGCCAGCACATGAAGGGTCTGGAACAAATTTGCAGGGCCATAGCATGTCTGACTTAGCCAGCACCTGTTACAGAAAACTTCATGATCTTGCTTTTGTCCACCACAGAAGGATTCTGTTAAGCAAAGATTTTTGTATTGCCAACAGCTGATGAGGAGAATTATGAAAAGTAGTAGGAGCCAGAATAATTACTAGAATTATAGAGACATGGGATATGCTTTTTAGAAGGTCATTTAATTCCCTTTTTCCACCTTGCTTATTGTACCTCTGACACTTTATTTCATTTTTCTTCCTGAGAAATAAAACCCCTATGATTTTAATAGAAAATGCAATCATTGTCTTGTCACAGTAACTTTTAAGGTAACTTACAAGTACAGCAGAGAAAAACCATAGCAGATGACTGTGAGGTGGTATTTCAACACAGAATAAACCAGCATTTTAATACTCCAATCATAATTTTTCCATTTTTAATTTCCTTTGAAAGTTATTTACCTTTTGCAAGCCATTTGGATGAAACATTGAAGTTTATTTTAGATTTTATCATCAGATTTGAGTAAGCTTTATGTTTGCTAGGGACATTTTCAGTTTCTGCATCTCTTATACCCTGACAACATATTTTGAATTTTCAGTTGAATTCAGGGAGAAATTAAAAATAGAAAAAATCTCCAAATCACATTTTTTCTTATGGAGCTCCAGTTTGTCCAGGCTGTAACCCTGTAACCCAAATAAACTCAGCAGTTTATTTGCAGTGGGAAACAACTGAGAACCATCTGCAACTGACCCTGGGATTTCTTGGTGCTTTCAAGATTATAGACTGATCATTACAGCAGGCACAACCCAAGAACTGAAAATGCAAGTCAGATCACAGAGTAACATCTAGCACAACAAACACAATGAAACCCTCGAGGTGATTTGTGGATTTTAGGTCCCGTTTTTATTTTTAATAGGCTCTTTCAGAATTGTAAGAGAGTTACAATTGGCCTTATATCATTACAACAGCAAACACAGCCATAACAGTTTTAAAATATATGACAGCCAGAACTTTTTCCTCCTTCAAAAAAGGTTGGGTGTAATACTGTGGTGCACTAGAGACTAGTCTGGGAGCAGTGGCTGTCCCAGATCTGCCACATACCTGGCTATAAGCTGTTCAGGACTATGAAATAATGTTAGTATTTTTTAAAACAAACTAAATAAAAATGACAGGTGGCTACCTGGATTCATCTAGGAAAGAGAACTCCCCATAAAACTTTTAGAATAGGGGAGCAAACCTTGAACATTTAGTATTGTTTGCAGTCACTTGAGTGGTATTTCAACTGTCACTCTCTCTCTCTTTCCTGAAAATAATGTTTCACAGAAGTGGTTCAAAGCACTTGCTTTTACAGCAACCGCTGCAGCAGAAACGTCCCGAAGTGTGTAACGCAGACCAGGAACATGTGATCAGGCACTCACTGTCAGACTCATTAATGGAGTTCGTGGAAGAAAACACACACCACCTCACAACTAACGGAGGCAATGGCTGTTACTCAGATCCATCTACCTTTTGGGTAGCTTTTTTTGCTAAGTATATCTTGGAGGAGGTGTGGGAGGAGGGAGAGATGCTGCTGCTGCATGTTCAATGCAAAGTGCTTGGCTGTGATAGGCTGAGGGGACATGGATACTCTGCCTATATATGCTGGCAACTGCATCCTCTGCGCTTTATAGCTGTCACAGAGGAGCAAAGAAAGACAGTGAGAAGGACAGAGGAGAAGGAAAAGCCTTACCAACTCACTGTAAGTAACATTATTTGTCCTTAAAGCTTTGTGGTTATTGAATTCAAGTAGGTACATTTGGATTAATGCAACAATTGGTTACTTAGATTGGGAGCTCGGCAAATAAACAGCCAGCCTGTGTTATTTTAGAGATAATCTGGGATACTCAAAGAGCATTTCTTTTAACCTAAGTTTGCACAATGTGCTGTGCACCTCTCATGTTAAGTTTGCTTGTTTTTACATATGATGTATGTCAGCTATAACTGTTTATGTACATTTATGCAGAATCCCATGTATCGAAAAGTTTCTGTCTTGTCTTTCTAAGTGCAACAGTTCTGAACATCCAAGCAGACCTTGAGAAATTCTCTGCCAAATATTTTGACAAATAAAATTTTCAAGATAAATTCAGTGCATGACTTTTCCTCAGAAATAACTCTTTCCACATCATTATAATGAGACCTCAGAAGGAAAAATTACTGAATCTCAGAATCTGTGCTAGTGACAGCAATGAATAAAACCAGCAACTTCTAACTAGAGAAATTTTAAAAGGAAATGTAGAGCCTGTAACATATATACCTAATTCTGCACTTCTGCAAAGATCTTGGCTCATGCAACAGTAGAAGTACAGAGTAGATCCATTTCCTTTTACTCATGCTGGAATAAAATTAATCAGTCGTTATTTAGGCAATACTCCTATTGTCAGTAGTAGAAGTTTAGCTTAATAGTAGCAACAGCTGCAAAAACCTTCAGTTGGGTTCAATAGCAGAAAGTCCTCATGGCTTCAGTGGTGTCACTGTAGCACCATGAGCCTTTAAATACATTATATTCTGCAACAATTAGTTGGCAGAATAGAAAGTGTACTTTTCTCATTCATTGGAAAGTTATACAGTCATTACATTTTTTTGAGCCAATACAAATGCTATTAATGCATCTATTCTGTATTTAATAATAAGAGCTGCTAAAATATTTTATTATTAGCTGTTTCTTATTTGACTTTGATAAACTGGAAAACAGGCATGCATAAAATTATAATCTATTGAATAAACCTCTGTCCTCATTTGTTCTTTTTCCTCTTTTTCCCCTTTTCCCTCTTTTTTCTCTTTTTCTTCCTCATAACATATTTCCTGGTAGTACTTAGTTATCTTTTACATTTATAATTAGTTAATACAAAAACCAGATTATATAGACAATTCTTTTTAACAGAAGTAATAAGATGAATGATATCTACATAAAATTATACCTCCAAAGTAATCTAATACTTAATTGTGCATAAACTGCTCATTTGTATGTTTCAGTTTCAAGTAAAGTAGAAAATGATTTGCAGATGAACATTATACTGACTATACAATCTAAAGACTTACAACAGTTTTCAGTAACTTCACTAAAATAAAATATTGCCATGTTCTAATTTCGGTGTACTGAGATAAAAGGAGTAGTTTAAACAAAGCAGCAAAGGATATGTCAGCTTTAGATTGTGTAGTGTACTTGTCCTGTGACAAATTCCGGCAAAATTAAACAGCAAAGAGTTTATATAATAATAATAATAATAATAATAATAATAATAATAATAATAATAATAATAATAATAAATAATATTGTTAACATATAAGGTTTAATGTGATTGTTCTTGTTTTTATCTGAAGTTAAGAGCAAAACTCAATCTTTTCCAGTAAAGTAGGACTTGATCTGAAGAAGTATGCAGTGGTGACAATATCTATTGATGCTTGCTAGGAAGAGAAGTACTCAGACATAGTATATGTTTGGTAAAATTGTATTTTATCAATCGGAGTGAGGCTGTCGATGGATTTGAATACAGACTGTGCTTACAAAATGGTAGAGATTGATAAATAGGCAGAGTGCCTCCTGAGAAGCTGTGCTTTCCTCACTTGGTGTTCAGCTGGCAGATGTTGAATATGCTGAAATTCATCCTGGGAGGTGTGAGGTTGCCGAGAGCATAGAACCTTAACCACTCTTTGTGGGTCTTCCAGAAAACAGACCACTATTAAATACTTTAGAGAGAGGTTCAGTTTCTCTGAACTGTCCATTTAGTTCAGAAACTCAGCCTTTATTATTTTGCAGTCTAAGTCCCTTCGACTTAAGTACACACACATTGTAACACTCAGCGCTTTAGAAAATGTGGATGCTCTCAGTGTTTTCATTTTAGATCCTAGAGCTGAGTCATCTGAGGTATTTTCCTTCTTAGAAAATAACTTTCTATATTTTTAAAATATACTGGTGTAGAGGGAAGGTTTCTCTATGCGTTGTGTTGTTGCATTGTACATGTGTTGCATATGCACGTGAGAGGTAAAAGAGAAATATTCTGTACTGACAGAGAAGTGAAGTAATTTGCATTTTTATAGTACTAACTGGTAAGCATTACAATTGTCAGATACTCTAGTCTACTGGATGTGGCTTCCGTAGCAAGTAATACTTTCAAGAAGATGAAGTGAGATCTATAATGAACAGTTGAGGAAGAGAATAAAAATAGGGATGAGAGTGTAAGTGGGTCTTGTCACTCACAGAAGAATAGATATAAAATAGGAGGTGAAAAGGAAAATTTAAATAACTAAATTTAAATAACTCCTGCACGGAGTATGCCTTCACGGTTCCTGGTGAGATATGTACATTACAGTAGTATGGAATTTTCAGGCAAGGACTTTGAGGAAAGAAGATGCATGGATACATAAAGATAGGTGTTTAAATAGATTTTAGTTTCTCAGTATTGTCTTTGGGGGAAAGAAGAATGAAATACTTAGCTTCAGATTGAACCAGATTGATATGTTTTACTGGATCAAACTCAATGGAAAGTTCATTAGAGGTTAAGTAGATACTAGTTTATATCAATTTATAACACTGCAGCAAGTATGGCAGATTTGGGATGGATGGTTCATCCTTCCATTCTTTAAGCTTAAGCTTCCTGGTTCAATTACTTCCTCCATGCAAAACAGTGGGATTCCCCTGTAATCCAATTCTTTATCCCAAATTTTGAGAATGCTATTGCAATGGTGATTCATGACAGAACTAGTGCAGCTAAAACAATGTGAGTTTAAGCTAGTTCTTGGGAAGAACTATAGTTAGCAAATAACAAATAAGATCTCAAGTGGTTATCTGGAATGTATTTTGTCAAGATGAGTTGACAAATTTCAGTTCCATGGTCATAGGCTGAAACCACAGAATACACATCTGATGTTTAGATCTAAATTTTATTTTCTTATCCTGATATCCAAGAAAAACTTTGTCCAAACTACTACTAATAAAAATTACAATAAAGTATATCAGCATACTATATAGGAAAAAAGATGATACAAATATTACTTGGAATAGAAAGAAACTTCAGATCCAAAAAAAAATCTAGGTGGTAGAAAAATGGTCACAAGTTGTATATCATAGTATCTATGTTGTGGTAGTATGATAAAGTACATGTATTTTTGTGTATTTGTGAGCTGTTTTGAGCTTACACACAATGCTATTTAATTTGTGTCATTTGATATATAATTTGGAAAAAGACCAAATGATCCACAGAAGCTTCTGTGCTAAGTGGTCACCTATATTTGATTGATACAAAGTAAAGCTAGAGAGTAGTATAGTGATACTCTTACCTGTTCTGACATCCTACTGACAGTTCATTGGTCCAACAGATACTGAACTGATCCACATGTAAAAGCCTGTAGGAAGGGTGGTGAGCAACAGTAGCATTAGAAACACAAAATCCTCAAATTCTGAGTCAGTTTAATCTCAGGCAACTCCCACTAATTTGGCAGTCATGGTTTAAATTCTTATTTTCACAGCTTTCATCTCTGAAACCAGAGGAAAAAATAACAGATTCCCACATGCGAGTTCTTTAGAGCATGCTATAGCAATGAACTGATGAATGAAGTAGCATAAAAAATGATGATAGCATAAATTAAGGGTTAATTTAGAGATACTTTGAAAAAGAAGTGAAACACTACAATATTTAGATTTCTTCTGGTAAAAATATCTAAACCAAAGAACTGAGCTCTGCGGTGTAATTAGATTGCTGCCAGAGATGTATATTGATTGTTGCAGTTCATGATGATTCATTTGGAAAGTTTATTAAAATTTTGAACTGCGGTCAAAGATGTGTTAAAAGAAAATGCACCTAAAATTCGGATGCTATTGAAGAAATGGAATCATCCTGACTATAAAGGAGTAGAAACAAAATTGCTTGCTTAAACACAGACTTTCAAAAGGGAGATGACATACAAAGCTGCCCACCAGAATCCTCTAAAGACCGTAATGACCACTGGTAATGTGTTTCCGGCAACTTAGTAGCAAGATCTGAGAAAGGTCTTAATTCCCCTTTCAGAAAGGCATAGAGAGAGCCAAATAAACACTTTCACGATGGTTAAAGAGGGTAATATAACTCTAAGAAAATAGCAACAAGAACAGCTATTTTCTGGGGGTCTAGGAGTCCCTACTGTGCAGATTCTTGCCTTCCCAAGTGGTTTATGACCTACAGCAGCACTGTGCCTTCTTAAATAGCAGCAGCAGCTGCTGCACAGAAAACCCAGATCCTCTATTTGTAGCAGCAAAGATGTCTCTAGGACGGTGTTTATCAATGATGTCTTTCTTCTGTAATGTGACAGTACTAATTCAAATATAATAAAGCCCAGAAAGTTCTCTCTTTTCTCAAAATGATGTCATGAGTTATAAATCCTTAGAACAAAGAGCTGATACCTAAGAAATTGTCTCATAATTATATAATATTCACATTGTGCTTAGTATAATTATTTCCTTACCAAGTGAAGATTTGAAGATATGTGAACTAAGCATAGTATTTCCTTTACACCAGAAGGGAGTATCCTTGTTTCAATTGCCAATTTTATTCTATATTCCAAGGAATGGTATCACTCACTCAGAGTGTATAAAGACTCTTGGACTTTTTTAGGCACTGTTGGCTCAACATTGTATTCACTGAGCATTTGAAATGCACAGCCACACAGAGTAGAAAAGTTGGACGGTCCAGGATGTCAGGAGCAGGCACCCTAGCAATATGAAATTATGTTTGCTTAGTACTTTGCGGGCAAACTCCAGTTTACTTCAGCTGAGCCATATATCACCTTGTGTGTGCTCACACAGTCTCTGCCTAGCTCAAAGCACACCTCGAGATCCAGCCCAACACCTTGGAAATAGGGACAGCGTCAGACAGAGCTTCCTCATATCCTCCTGAAAAATACATTACGGATCAACTCTAAGTGAATTCTAATTGCAACCTCTAATTGCAGTAAGAAATAAGGTTTTATAAATGGCATTGAATGTGCATTTACAGTGAAAGAGTAAAGAAGATAAATCTTGAGCACAGGAGGCAAGAAGTACTTAAAATAACAGGACAGCACAGTGGATCACTGTGATAACTGTGATTATTATAGCTTGTTATTATGGATTATAATAGCGACATAAAGCATGCTATTTTCTTAGACATCTTCTTTATAAGGCAGGAGGGAGTTGATTATGTGCCACATAACAGTGCCACATCCTTGGCACTGGCACACTCAACTAGTAGCAGTATAGATTAAATCTGTGAGTTCTGAATCTTCGTCGACATACATCTACTGCTCTTCTGTGCTATAGATCCAGCCTATCTGTATTAATCTACATCATGACCTAGTCATCACAGATTTAACAGTGTGATTTACTTCTGTACAATGTCTAGCTAATACTGGAGTGGAGCAGAATGAAACACTGTATGGGCATTGGCCTAATGTGCAGAAATAAAAGACCATATGGTCTTCTCAAAAAGGCCATATGAGTCATCCTATAAATCATCTGCATAATGGGTTTAAAACTAGTAAAATTTTATTTCAGAAGTGACTTTTTTTTTCTTTTTTTAGGTTTTTTCTGATAATAAGTCCTAAACTCTGATACCCATGGATGCTGCAGAGTTCCGCAAGAGAGGGAAGGAGATGGTGGACTATATTGCAGATTACCTGGAGAAGATAGAGAAAAGACAGGTCTTCCCAGATGTGGAACCAGGATATCTAAGGCCCCTCATTCCAGACTGTGCACCCCAGGATCCTGAGAGCTTTGAGGATGTCTTTAAAGACATAGAGAAGATCATTATGCCAGGGGTAAGAAAAATGGATTTGTAGTGTAATGTTCAATACTGCATTTAGGTTTTCAAAGACTGTAAGGAAAGTGTGGATTGAAGTCTGTGAAGCTAGACCTTATGAATATAAGTACCCACAATGATTAGCTTTTAGAAGGCAGGAGTCTGCTTTATATCCATAGTTAAATATGATCTAACACTTTACACAACTAATGTTTTCTGTTCTTGCTAGAAATAATCAGATCATTCTTTTGCTTCATGCGAGGCTTGCTTTTGGAAATAATCCCCTTTTCTCCCTCGAGTTGCTTAAGGCAAAGCTTCATAACTTTCAATTTCATGTGATATTTTTGCTACTTGCAAAGCATGGTAAATATTTTTATAAAATGGGATTTTTATTAGTCTGCTGTGCCTAAAACGTTCCTTCAAGCTGATCTTTAAATGTTAAAATTCTCTTAGGAGACTTCTTTTTATTACAGAGTTGACTAGAAAGGATTCTCCCCAATACTTATTTTGTTGACTTACTCTCCTAAATGTCAACAACTTCTAGTACGTTTTAAGGCAGACGGCCATTACCTAAATACTAGTCCTTGGATAGATCAGTGTTGGACAGACAATACAGAACAAAGCATCTGGCATTTGTCTGGTTCTGAATCTTCCTTGTTTTTCCACTCATGGTATACCTTTTTTATTTTAAATATATGCTTGTCTCGTAAGACCTCTAAGTACCTTGAAGAGGATGGGATTATTAGTATATGTTAATGAGGAATCACTCCTTTGGATCTCTGCAATAACTACTTTGGGTTGCTTTTCTAGATGTAGCTAGGTGATATGATTGCTATGTGACTGGACATGGAACAACTGCTCTGCAAATGTATTTAGTCAGTGTACTATAATACCAATTCCTTTTTATTGACCAATGCAAATATTTGATATTCAATATGACTTTATCTTGTTTTCCTTGAAGCCAACCCTGCTGTCCTTTCACAGGCAAAAACCTCCACTGAAGTCAACAGAAATCTCTCTGCTCTTCTCAAAGATTTGTGGATGAAGTCTTAAATCCAACAGAATTATATCAGTGCAGATTAGATAAGAGAATTATGTCCAATACATGCAAATACTTTCATTGCTGCTCATTGATATGATTGCCTTTTCTTTTTCATTGGAAGAAAATACTAAATACTTTTTTTTTTTGTCTGTGAAGTAGAACAGAAAACATTTTGCTTTGAACACTTGAGAACATTCAATAAAATAATACCAAATTAAAAAAATAAGATATGAATCATTTGAGAATAGAAGGTGAGCCATTGAATTCCAATTATGTCATCCACATGTCTTGTTTTCTCTGAACTGAATTGATTTTTTTCTTGATATTTACATGCCCTGAAAATAAATTTACTTTTACAAAGTGGTACATTCTGAAGAAGGAATGTTCTATCCAAAACTTTTCTCTGGTGTGAAATGTTAGTGTTTGTGACACAAAGAGCACAAGTACATAAATCCCAGTTCTTACAGTAACTCTATTTCTGCCTGTGTTATTTATACTAAGTACTCACATGAGCACATAATCACAAAGTCATAGTATAGTCGAGGTTGGATGGAACCTCCAGGGAACATTTAGTCCACCCCCACTGCTCAGAGCAGTCAGAGCGTGTTGCTCAGAACTGTGCCCGAGTGGGTGTTGAATATCTCCAAGGGTGAAGTTTTCAAAATCTCTCTGTTGTCCTGTTCCAAAGTTCAACCACCCTCACAGTAAAAAAACTTTTTCTTACATTTAAGTGACTTTTCCTGTATTTCAATTTGTACCCATTTCTTGTCTTGTCACTGGATACCACTGAGAAGAATCTGGCTTCATTTTCTTTACACCCTCCTATGAGGTGTTTATACACATTAACAAGATACCCACTGAGCTTTCTGCAGGCTGAACAATTCCATCTCTGTCAGCCTCTCATCACATGACAGATGCTCCCATTAATAATCTCCATGGCCCTTCACTAGAATCACTGCAGTATCTCCATGACTTTCTTGTACTGAAGAACTCAGAACTGGACACAGCATTCCAGGTGTGGCCCCACCACTGCTGAATACAAGGGAAGGATCACCTCATTTTGACCTACTGGCAACAGTTTTCCTCACATGGCCCAGGATGCTGTTGCCTTGTTTGCTGCAAGGGCACATTGCTGGCTTATGTACAACTTGTCTAATGGGACCCCCAGGCCCATTTCTGCAGAGCTGTTTTCCAGCCAGTCGATCTCTGGCCTGTACTGGTGCAGGGGGTTATTCCACCTACCTAGTCTATTTTTCATCAATGTGTCAGTAAAGATTTTATAGGAGACAAGAAAGTCTTAACGATACCCTGTGCCTTCCCACTGTCCATCAAGCCAGTCATCTTGTAGCAGACTGTCAGGTTGCTTAGGCATGATTTTCCCTTCATAAATGTTTGCTGCCTAGCCCCAATCACCTACTTGTCTTTAATAATGTTTGGAAATAGCTTCAAGGTTCCATCATCTTCTCTGGGATTGAGGGAAGGTCTGTAGTTTCCCAGATCCTCCTTCTAGTCTTCTTGAAGATAGGAGTGACATTTGCTTTTTTCCAGTCCTCAGGAACATTGCCCAGTTGCCATAACCCTTCAAAGATATTTGAGAGTGGCTTCAATGACATTGTCTAGCTCCTGCAGCACTTGTGAGTGCATCCCATTAGGCTCCATGTATGTCCAGTTTATTTAAATGTTTCCTAACCCTGGTCCTCCTCCAGGTGAGGTCTTCCTTGCTCAAGGCTTTTCCCATGTGTCTCAGGAGCCTGGGATTCCTGAAGGCAAATTTACAAGTAAAGACTGAGGTGTAAAATGCAGTGAGCTCCTCAGCCTTTTCCCTGTCTTTTGTCACTCTTTTTTGTAAAGGGTGCTTTTGAAAAGCGTGCTTTTCTTACATGCTTCCTTTTTCAAATTGAGCATTGTCAGGAGCTAATTGTTCATCTGTGAAGGCCTCCTGCCACTCTTGCTTGAGGCATGTGGCACAAATCATTTTGGAACTTGGAGAAAATGATCCTTGAAAACCAATCAGTTCTCCTGGACCACTCTTCTCTCCATGTCTGTTTCCCATAGGATTTTTCCAAGAAGGTCCTGTAGCAGGCCAGAGTCTGCTCTTCTGAAGCCCAGGGTTATGATCTGCTTCATGCCTTTTCTCCTGCTCTCATGATCCTTCACTACAGCATCTCATGGTTACTGCAGTCAAGGCTGCCCCTTTCACATCCCTGACCAGTTATTTTTTGCTTGTAAGTATGTGGTCCCACAGCGTGTCTCTCCTCATCAGTTCTTCCATGGTTTCCTGTGTTAGGAAATTATCATCAATGCGCTCCAGAAACCTCCTGGATTGGTTGTGCCCTGCCGTATTGTCTGTCCAGCAGATATCAGCTTCGTTGGAGTCCCCTGTGAGGACTATGACCTGCAAACATTAGGTTTCTTCCAGCTGTCTGAATGCTGTACTCATGTACTTCTTTGTGATCAGGTGGTCTATAGCAGACACCCACCTGAATGTTCTGAATGTTGCCCATCTTGAAATCTCCACCAGTCCTGACCCATAAGCTCTTGACTGGCTCATTGTCCATCCCTAGGCAGAGCCCCATGCAGTCCTGCTGTTCTCTTGCATAAAGGATCACAGGGACTGAGGGAACAACTGCTGAACTCTGATCTCCACAGCAGGAAGCCAAGGTGGAAAGGATCTGCATATAAAAATATCAGTGGGAGTCACCCTTCTCTTTTATACTTGCTTTGTTGTCTTGAAATATATCTCCTTATTTAGAGCCAAAAATGATCGAGTTTAGTTGTAACTGCAAATAGCAGTACTGAAAACACTAATTTTCACCACATTGGGTCCATTAATCTATGAACTTTCAGATAAGTACCTCCTCTTAGTGTGTGTAAAGGAAGACTCTTGCTTAGACTAAGCAAGCCACAGAAAGAAAGACATCCTTAGAAGAAATCTGGGAAATAAAATGTCTCTGAGAAGCATTAGAGTGGTAATTACTGAACCCAAGACACTTGTGTATCACTGTTTATCAGCAGAGGGCTGAAAAAACAAGCATCAATTATGTCACACGCTTTGCAGTATTTGACAAAGTGTGTCTGTTCCAACATGGTGAAAGAAATTAATTTTAAGCTGCTTCAAGAGAAGGGGGAAGGGGAGGAAGGAGGAAGAACTGCAGCTGCATTTGCCCTAGGGCTTTTGGCTTTTTTGATTTTCATGAGTGGTGCAACTGGAATATGCTGTGTTTCATCAGACAAATGGCTCCCAGCAAGTAGGCAGTTTAACCTGATTAACCCAAGATGAATGTCACAAGTTTTACAGATCATGGTGGATTAGAGCTGGGGAGATTAACAGTGGCAGCCCTGACTCATTATGGACGTCAGTGAAAGTCTTTGTGTGTGGGTCCTATCAGGGACTGCTGTTTATTAGTTATTTTTTTATCTGTTCATTGTTTTCCTGTGAAGAACCAAGTCCCATCCCATTTTTTCTGATTTGTGAAAGAAGGTGTTTGCCACAAGTGCTCTAAAACTTTGTTACAGAAAAGGAAGAGATCCTGACCAGATGTAAGATATACAGCTAAAAATGTTCACAGTAGCTTGTGCTTGGATACCTGATTTGAGCAGTTTGGACTTAGAGACCAGTAAAAGTGAAATCTTGAACATACCAGGTACAGGGCAAGTTTAGACAGTGGAAAATTGTAGTGGATAGGGGCTGTTTTCATAGGAAAGATGTAGGGGCATCTGAAATATTATATATGGTATACTACAGCAGAGAAAGTGATATCTGATTCATGGTGTATACAAGAGTTAAGACAGTTTCCCCTTAACTCAGAGCATGTCCCTTAGTGACAAACTAAGGCATGAAGAAGGTTAGAAGAGGAAATAAAAGGATAGTTGTAGCATGCAGAACAGTGCAGTACAGTGATCCTTAAGTTAGCTCCAGAACCAGAAACCTTATCGCAGACTGGGAGAGATGGGAGAGTGAATGGTAAAATTCATCAGAAGTCAGAATGTGGAACAAAACAGTAAGGCAACACTGAGCAGAGTCAAGAGATAGTGTATGCTCTTACCATCCTCCAGCTGTAACAGAAAAACTCCAGTATTAAAAAAACAAAATGGTGCAGGAAAAGGCTAGGCTTCAATAACTTGGCAGCCTCTGGATTTCCCGCCAAGGAAGGATCTTATACAAATTCTTCCTTATAGTCCAGCTAATCCTCTAGAAGCACCATTTTCTAAAATTTGCTTTTTATCTTGAATGTAAAAGCTGTTTTTGCCAAATGTATCATATCACATTATTTCCACTGACCATTGCAGTGTGGCAGTACATTTCCTGTTTTCAAATTTTATTAGATACAAGTTGTAGAGTGCTATCAAGTATCTCATGGACGCTTAAAATTGCTTAGATATTGCATAAGATCATTCTAAATATTGCTGCTGCAATACAGTTGACTACAATTTGTGCAGTTATTGTCTTGTTCTCTCGTATTAGTATGATCACAACTTGTCATAGGGAGATGATAGTTTAATTTTCTACAGAAGGGACTGGATACTGGAATGGATTGTTTCGTTTCATCATGAGGAGCTGTTTGGCCAAATTCAGTGCCTGAATTTTAGCAAATAACTGCAGAGTGTGGGCAAGAGAGTTCTGTGGACCTCTGTTGCACTGAAGACAGTCTTGCTAAGTCAGTTGCATGACAGAGATGAAAGAACGTATTCTGTTCTTTCATCCTTGAAAGCAGAGACTCAAGAGCAGTGCCCTGCACAGAAACTCGTGCTGCCAGTGTCCATGCAGTTCTTGTCTTCTAGGCAGACAAAGGGAGTATTCTGATTTTGAAACTGGTGGGAGATGGGGGCAAGAACTAATTAATTTCTAAATCAAGTAAAAGAAAGATTAAAAAATTTGAGAAAAATTTGAGAAAAAAATGGGATCCTGTGTTACAGCCGGGTAGTCGAGAACTTTTGACTGGTCCTAACCTCTAATATTTTCTGATTTTGTGACAATTTTTTTCTGCTTCCTGCATTAGTTAAAAATGACTATTTTGCCCTTAATACAGGTGACTCACTGGCACAGTCCATACTTCTTTGCCTACTTCCCTGCAGCCTCTTCCTTCCCAGCTCTTCTTGCAGATATGTTGTGTGGTGGAATAGGATGTGTGGGCTTCTCTTGGGTAAGTTTACAGGGGTTTGTACTGCTAGGTGGTAATGGTGCTTCACCTTGCTGAGATTTTAAGCTTTTCAGTAACATTTTTCAATGAAAGTATTGATTAATAACAGTGAAGTCACAGGACCATTTTTATAGCTATATTTCCTTGACTAGTTAAGTGTTTTTACATAGACACCCTGAATGTCTTCAGGAATAAAAGGCTATTTCCTCTTAGAAGTTTTTTCCTTCAAAAATCACCAGAATTTAGTGGTAGCAGTGCAAACTTACTGGTAATTCATTAAGTAGTATGACTGTTGCCTGTCACACAGTGTTGTTACTTCTTTTATCATTTGGATAAATGGAACATTATGTTAAAAACCCCCACATTCATATGAGATGGGGTTTTCTCAAAAGACGTTGATATTTAATGTTGAAAAAAATATATGCAAGATACAAATCCTGACTTTGACATTTGATAGTCACGGTTCTACATGAGGCCCAGTTTGACTTATTTTAGTAAGTATTAGAAACAACATGCACAAAATGGTCTTCAGGTCCCTAATTTAGCTGATGCAGTTAGTCGGCTATTCTATAGTCAGAAGACAGAAAGAGAGAGAAAGTTATTCTTGCTCTGGTAGATACTATTTCTCTTCATGGTCTAGTGAGGTTATTTACTCTGATCTATTTTTCAACACAGGCCGCAAGTCCAGCCTGCACAGAGCTGGAAACTGTCATGCTGGATTGGCTAGGGAAGATGATTAATTTGCCTGAAGAGTTTTTAGCTGGGAAAGATGGTCAAGGTGGAGGAGTCATTCAGGTAAGAGGGGACATGGAAAAAGAATGGGGGATGAGTTTGTGGAGCTTATAATTTTGTAAAATCTTCATACCAAAAAACTAATAAAGGAAAGATATTATTTTTTCTGCCACATGGGTTCCTTTTCAGAAAGACTGATGCTCTGTGAGAAAGTCCATATGTGGGTAGGATCATTTATGAAAGTAAAGGTTTTGTTTTCAGAGCAGCTGAAATCTGAAACACTCTTCTGTGAAGAATTGCTAGTAATTCAACTTAACAGCACAATTTGGGCTTAAAATTTAAATAAAAATGTTGAAAAATCACGTAGGATGGAAACTTTAATTTGTTGATCAAGTGAAGTAAGCTCATACTTACCAGCAACATGAAGCAATGTTTCATGGCTGAAAATAGAAAAAAAATTCTCAGATAGAAATATATCTGAGGATTTTGAGTAAAGCATCATGAAAAGTGGTTACAAAGGCTTCCATGAATTCTGCCTTACACATGTCCAACTGTTTACTTCATTCAGTTTTCAAAACAGCCTTCCTTTTTTTAGAAAAAAGAAGTGTCAGAGATCAAGCAATGGATAAGAACATCAAAGAGAATCTTCTATAAGTAGAAATAATAGAAGGTAGAAGAAAGTCTATCAGTCTTTGTCAAATAAGTTGAAATTATTTTAATAAGTTTTCATTATATAACAGCATGAAATATTGGAATGATACAATGAAGAGCTGCTTAAAATTTGAACCTAAATGATTCTATCACTAGATAATACAATTTTCAGACTACACTGCAGTATCCAAAATAGAACAAAACGCCCAGACTTTAACGTTGACTGCCGAATGAAAGCCTACAATGTCTGAACAGAGTATCTGTATGATAATGAATATATCATCAATCGGTGAACTTGCATGCATAATAAAGTTATATTGCTTGTCAGCCATGGCTCCACTAGTGCATGGTCTTTCAGCAAAAGCAGACTCTGTTCACAGCTCTTAATCTAACTAAAATAAGTCTCTACTATGAAAAAGACTGAAATTTAAATAATAGTTCTGTGCTACTTCAATAATCTCCGGATTCTGGTTATTGGAGGCCAGGGCATAATCCACTTTATTCTAAGATAGTCTTCTAAAATACATGCGAATTACATGCTAGGAGGCTTCTTTCTTTGTTCTCAGCTGCAAATGCCTAGAGCATATTCCAGTGAATTCTTCCCAACATGTTACCAGGCAAGTATGAACTTAACCCAACTGCTATGATTCTCCTAGGCAGAGCCGCACCTACACCAGTGTATTTCCAGTATAACTCTTTACTCATCTGCTTGCTCTGTTAGGATCTTTATCATTATGATTACTAGTGAGGGGGTTATATTCAAGAAATCACGCTTTTGTCACACATCTCAAACTATTTATTTTGTACCGGTGAAAGCAGGCAAGTATGTCTGATGGTTATTAGCAGGAAATACTGCCTTTCCAATGCTGGATTGCCCATAATTTTCATCAGAAACCAGTCAGTTTCAACAATCAAAAGTGGGCTCTGTGTTTCTGCTTACGATGAAGTCATTTGTGCTGCAGATCTTCTTGTCTTGCTCTTGAAACAATAATGATAAAAATAAGAGAGTGTGAGGCAAAGACAACATGAGCATGTGAAAGTGCCAGTCATTCTCTTGGTAGATACCAAGTAATTATTCTGGTATTGGGTAAAACTGAGCCCGTGAAAATTGATTCTTAATTACATTTAAAAGTCTATGTCAATATGAAGCACTTTGTTGTTGTGTGCAGGATGACACTTGAAAATGGCAAAAGATGAAAGAAAATTTCAGTTCAGAGCTCTGGTGGACATGAACATCAGCTCTTGCTGATATTTCTTCCGCCTCTTGAGCCTGCTTGCCATGGCAACCTTTGTTTGCTTGCGGTAAAAGGAAAGGTATCATCATCCTTCACTTAATGCAGAATACAGCATTCAAGAGGAGAAAAAAACAGCTTTTAAAAATAAGTGAGAAAGCAACTTTCTTCCTGAAACTTGTATCCTGCTGTTCATTCTAGATAAACTGCTGAAAAGTGTGCCTACTTTGAATTTTAAAGAGTTTTCTTGTTCTGCAAAGAAGTATTTTAAGGGTGAAACAAAATGAGACTCAGCCTATATTTGGTCTGGCAAGGAACACTGCTGATTTATCTTTCATGTCAGTTAGCCGAGTAGTTCAAGAACCAAGGGATTTTTCCTCAAAAATATTTAGCACAAGACTTCAGTGCCAAGTGAATAGAAGAGCCTTACAAACCATGTTCTGCAAACACTGTAAGCTTCAGTATAAAAAAGGTGACTTATGGAAACTGAGAGAAGGTGAAAAAGCCTATGTCTATCGTGAGACATCCAAAAACATTTCCAAGTTGCTGGATTCAGGTGCCTTTAGGCAGCGTCCCAGCTGTATATCAGGAAGCAAGATTCAGCTGGGTAACAGGCCCTTTCCTTTTCATCCTTGTTTCTGTGTAAGGAAATTCATACAAGAACTGCTGCATATACTGACTATGCACCAGCCTGGATGAACGACCAGGATGCCAGGACATCTTGTGGCACTCCTCAAAAGGCTGAAGCTATTCTTGAGCCTAAGTGATTTGCCTGCCCAACCAGGCAGGCTCTAGCATATGGGAGCTAATACTTCCAGATCTCAAATGAATGCCTTAACCTTTGGAATTTCCTACTTTTTTTAAAAAATATATATTTGAGTGCATTTCTTCAATATGTGTATTCCTTACACATCCTGGAAAGACACAAAAAAAAAAAAAAAAAAAAAAGCCACTTTCTCCACATGTATTGAAAAGATTTTCATGTATCCCCTTAAATATATATTTTAATAAAAGTAATAATTAGTATTATTTTTCACATATTAAATGCAAGGCTGCCAGACCTAACTTTACTGTGAAGAACCCAGGTTTAGAAAGGTTGTTTTCAGTCACTTGCCTAATGCGAGATGGAATTAGATCTTGCACACAGGCTTTATGTTGCCCAACTTCATTATGAGGACATATAACTTATGTGAAAAATTGTATGAACATCACAATAAGTTGCAGTGGTTTGCACAAATGAAAAGTATTCTCATCTGCTGAATTGCTGGAAAAGGCATTTCAGGCAACATTGTGTGATAGTACATGACCGTTATGCAGGTCTTCTGATTATGCAGGGTTCTTTTAAAAGATTATATATTGCTTGTAAAAAAAAAAAAAGGAAAAACCCCAGCTTCTCAGTAAATAGGTGACGTTCCTCACATCTGCTGGACACCCAGGACCCAAGTCATTCTAGCTCACAGGACTGTCAGGAAGTACAGGTATTTTTCTTCACTGCTTACATAGATGATAATGTGTTGAGCATGGCAGAAACAGTTTTGCTAACAGACATGATGACAGAAGTTTCTCATTAGAAAACTTACACTGTGTGAGGTTCATCCCACATTTTGTCAGATAAAGATGAACACATACAAGAAAGTACCTTTAGAGGAACCATTTATTTCAGTCTGGAATATTTGCCTAAAATTAATGGAATTACTGCTTTCTGGATATGCTTACCTCTCTCCACTGATATTAAGGGACCCAAAACAATTATCTCAGATATTTAACTTTTTGAAAGTTATTTATGATCTTGAAAGTTATTTATGTGTAAGACGATGATTGTGTGCACACAGTCTTGCATCATGAGTTCTGAGAACTACAGGCAGGCATGATTTCTCAGTGTTCAGATATTCTGAGTATCTGACTACAGATCATAGTCAGAATAAGATTAAATGGGGGTTGACAGATTATGTTTTCCGTAATTAATGGATCAAATTTCCTTCACTCCTTGCCTCCACATGGAAGTTCTACCTTACTTGACCCAAGAGGGATATTTGTTTTCCTAGACCATTCTGTATCTGTAATATTTCCCTCGCTTGCCATAACGCTGTATGCAACAGCAGATATAAGAAATGCATAAAACTGTCTCCAGCTCATTTTTGTGCTCTGATGCAGACCCTGGAGTCTAAATTCCTCAAATCCCACACCACCAGAAAGGCAGATGAAATATCATCGCAGTACATTTAGTAGACATTTAGGGACTGTCCTTTTTCCTGCTTACCCCATTCATGAGGCTGCTGAATTTCAGCTGGATTGAGTTCACTCAGTGTTGAGATGTTGACATGTGTAGAAGGAAACTTTGTCTTATATAAATAGCTCAGCTAACTTCAGCCTTAAAGAGAAAGTCACTGGGATCATTTTCATGTATGAAATCTGTAGGATCAGGCCCATCTCCAGAGAAGAAATAAGACTGCCCAAATATTTAAACATTTATTGTAATTAGTAAGTATACACAGTTCTTCAACAGAATTTTGCTACAGGATAAGAAACATCACTCCAAAACAAGCTAGTTGACACTGGGGATATTTCTGAGACATATTTATTAATAGAAGCAAGTGTATTCATTGCACTGTTATGTGCTTGGCAGAGGAAGATTCACATGACAATTGCTAAACTTTGAAAGTACCTTAAAACTTGATCTTGTGTATGGACACCCTAAAACACTGACATTAATGAACTTGTATTAACAAACTGTTACTTATAGTTCGAAAGAGCAGTTGAGAGCGTGTTTCGTCTGCCTGATCTAGAGGAAAATCATAAAAAGAATTTGTGGGACTTTGTATTCTCTTATGAAATTTACAGATTGTTACAAAAAATTCCCCTCTGTTTTGTCACAGAGTATCCAAGGCACAATTTAAACCCATGTTTTGTGAGTCAAAGTGCAATTTAGAAACAGTGTGTGACTTCCTTTCATCTGTGTGTTTTTGATGAAGAAAACATACCTAACTAATACTCTGAAATGCAGTTAGCTATATTGAATCATAGCTTTGCTTTTTCAGTGTTTTTTCCTCTTTTAGCCACAATAACTGATTTGCCCAGGGTAGCTCTAAATATTAAATAAACATTATAACATGTTGCTTGATAGAAATGAGAGTTGACAGTCAGATTCTGATGGAAGTCAAACGTGTGGAAATCCAGGGTAACAGAAATCAACAGTTACTCTGCCATATTACTGGTTAACAAATGATCAGTGCCTGGTTCAAGAGCCTTTTCACATGCTTTTAAGCCTGAGAGTCCAGCTTTCTAGCACTGATAGCAAGGCTGGTGACTAAACTGAACAAGTACAGAGATTAAAGAGAGCAGACAGAGGCATCAGGAAGAAGGAGACCAAGATCAAATAGAGATTCCTCCCTTGCTGTCACACATATTCTTAAAAAGCATGAGATTTCTCATACACAGTTTCTGTTAACAACTTTGCAGATTCATACAGAAGAAAATGTTCCTTTTCTTCTTCTGGCATGTCTTCCTTTTTGAACCTTCCTTCAATTTGTCCCACAGGGAAGTGCAAGTGAGGCCACCCTCATTTCACTGCTTGCTGCAAGAACAAAAACTATCAGACGGGTGCAGTTAGAGAAGCCTGAGCTAACAGAAGCAGACATCATGGGCAGACTGGTAGCCTATGCTTCTGATCAGGTGAGTACCTCTCAAAACCATGGAAACATGGGGTCTATACTTAACAATTGCAAATAAATAAAGATACTTGAGTAAGGTGTTAACTTCAGTTGTGTTGAGTAAGCCTAGACCATCTTTTGTTACTTCTAGGCTTGTGTATCCATGCATGCACGCATTATTTTCCTCCTACATACACATGTGCAAGCAAGCAAACACACATACATCCTCCCTCTGTATGTACACATGGGTACAGGTGCATGCACACAGATAAACCCAGTGTGTTAATATAGAGCAAACCGGTCGTAGTTTGGGCTGAAGAAGCCCAAAGCATTACTATTTTTTTTAAAGAAAAAAACTTCTAAGATCTTCAGGTATCAATCCAGATAAGAAATCTTAAAACAGAAAATATAATCCTTGATTTCAGACTGTGAGTGGTATTTAGCAGACTGAATTGGACTAAATTCTCAGCAAGACAGGATCATTAGAGGTTTTCACTGTTAATGAAAGCAAATTTTAGTCTTGTGAGTTCTGCTGCTCCTACCTTTCTGACACAGTAATCCTACTGAAAAGCCAAGGAATGTTGTTTCACTAAATAGCTGTGACATTTTCATATCTAATTGTCAATGAGATAGAAAAAACTTATTCAGTACTTGATATTTAGTTTAAAGTAATGTCTGATTAGGCAGAATAAAATGGCTGGGTTTCAGGCTTATCTTGATTTACTACTAAGTGTATATTAAAAAGCACTGGAGAACAAGTTAAAAGTACAATTGCTCTTTGCTGGTGGGAAGAGGGAGTATGCTTGTAGGGTGAAAAGTCAGGATAAAAAATATGAGGAAAGATAACTGTTTTCAAAAAGGGTATTTATCCATTTTTGTCTGTAACCCTAAAGTCTCTATTATACAGACCACCAATCCCAGAGAGCTCAAACTCTGACCCAGTGAAGCAGAAAGCCTTTTACTTTCTTTCATTTTTTTGTCCCATGTAAGTGGCTGGCCTGAAATGAGGACTGACAGGCCTTCCTGCCTATTGAAGGTCAGAGGATATTATGTTTACAGAAGGATTTGCCGTAAGATATTGCCGACCTTTCAAAGCAGATTGTTGTAGAGCTCACCGGTCCTTCTGCATTAAGAACAGACCTGTATGACTCATAGGCAATAATCCACCAAAGAAAGTAAACCTAAGCCATTCTGTGGGAGGGAAAACAATGCACTGACAGAGCACAACACTGCAAGAATTAATTAGGAGGAAGGTAAAAAGTTGACTGGTGAGGAGACCCAGAGCGCAAAGCTGAACTCAGATTTCATATATGTTGGGAGATCATTTTTGGCTTCTAGGCATTTTGGGAAAATCTTTATCCCACTGAAATAATTTTGCTTTGTGTTAATGAGTACAGAGCAGGACTGGCAACAAATCCTTCTTCAATAACTACCTGGGGGGTTGGAGAGAACAGAAAAAGATTCCTGTCTGGTTTAGTGCCTGGAGCATCCTGGCTGAGGCTTCTCTTGCAGGGGACACTGAATATGAGACCTTGGAGCTGAGAGGAACATCCAGGTATCCCTGACAGTAGACACCTCACTGTTTGGGACCAGGAGAGAAACTGGGGTAGTTTTTTAATATTCTCAAATTTTCTCAGGCCATTTCCTTCATCAGCCTTTTTTTGGGCATGTTTATTTGGGTACCTTAAGCAGCTACCCACTCACTTAATGGATTTCTGTTTGGTTCCTTGCTCTCCTCAAGGGTGGTGGGAGATTTTTGAGAGTAGTTTGCTGAGGACTAGGAATTCCATGGAGAAGCAGGTTACTGAAGATTTGTTATAATGCATCTTGGCAGTTTTAACCTTAAGATTGTGAATGGCTATAGTTATCAGACTGCCTTATTACAATTTTGGAGATTTGAGGAAGCAATTCAGAAGTTCTGACTAACAACCTCAGTGTTATTATTATAGTTTTCTTATTTGCGATTCTTGTATAAATCAGTTATAAAATACCTCTTTCCATTGTACATTGAATGGAGTATGATATTGCTATGGTGCACATTGTTTCCCACATCAAAAGTTATGTTTCAAGTCTAGACTTCCAAATTTTCTCAAGTTGGTGCCTAATTAGTTTACCAAAGTATTTTAACAAGAGACACTGCTGAGATACAAGTGAATAGTAATTCTGCCTTTAAAACATGTCATTCTAGGGATATGTGAAGTTGAAAGGCAAACCCTTTATCTTTATCTGGTCTTGTTCAACCTATGCTTTGGCTTAATCTTTTCCATGATTATATGCTAAATTAGAATAGAATTAGTAAGTGCTCTTGTAGGTACTAGCAAGAACCAACAAGGGTAGGATGGAGATTATGAATGAAAATCGTCATGATATGAAAAGGTAAAGAATTTTCTCTTTCAAATCAATGACATTTAAGATGATGAAAGTTAAAAAGGTATGGGGTTCTTTTAGTCATGCTCTAAAGGAGAGTATTTTGTGGCTAAACATACCTTTTACTGTTAACAGAGCTATTATTGTATTGCGCTTCACAAATTTACAAGAATTTCTTATTGATATCTTTGGTTTTATTTGCTGAGATGTGCTTTATGTTCTAAAAATAGTATTTATGGGGAATTCAAATAAAGTGGGTTATAAATAAAATCACATATTGGGAATGATCCCTAATTGCCTAAAAAAATGAATGAGTGACTGAACCGTAATTTAGTCAGTAGGTAATCTAAAAAAGAATGTAAGAAAACATCTCAGGCTATACCATACCATTATGCATATTTTTTAGAGTTCAGCAAAGCTGAACACCATAAAAATATGCTAGTGAGCAACTGAATCATTATCAGGCAAGCTGATTACCTGCATGTCTTTTGGTTGATTTAGAGCCAAATCCTGAAGCTCTTAATCAATCTCACCTAACTGTGAACATGTTAATTAAAGCTTTCACTAAGGTTAATTGAACTCTTGTCTGAATGAGGCCATGGCAATGGTCTTAAGAATACTTCAGGGTTCCTATTAGTGTATTGTGTGTGTGTATGTATGTATATATATATATATATATATATATATGTCCATCTGTCTGACTATATGAAAGAGGGAGACATATGTATCTGTTACATACCAGCAACAGTCCCAGGTTCTCAAGTATTGCTTTACTTGAAAGAATTTTTTTTCTTTTAAAATTCAAATTAACTCCTTACATTTCGATAAAAAGGTATCTGTCTTCAAACTTGTCCATTTCTTTGCAGGCTCATTCATCAGTGGAAAGGGCTGCCTTAATTGGTGGTGTGAAGATGAAAAATGTTTCTTCAGATGATACATTTAGTGTTTGTGGTTCAGCCCTAAAGAAAGTTTTGGATGAAGACAAAGCTTCTGGTCTTATTCCATTCTTTGTGAGTACAGGATTTTAATTAATCAGTGGATTTATTGCTTCCGATAAGCTATTTTGACATGAGTAGATGATCTCATCCCTAACAGAGGGATCAATAGGCAGCCTAGCTAGAATACTAGGGCAGGTTCTGTGAATGATCTTCACAAACCTCTCTACAGGAAGAGCAACTAATTTGAGCAGCTGGTTGCACTTCTCGGAAAAAATGATGTTTTAAAAGGACTTAAAGTTATATTAGCCAATAGAATAAATGGAGGTAAATTTTGTAGTTGCATGTAAATCCTGCAGTGTTATAATCTCCTGACACTTGAATTCTGAACTGCCTCTTTATTTTTCACTGATTTATTTACTTACACATAAACCAAATTTAAAGACAAATTAAATGATGGTGTCTTAAATTTAAGTATTTTCAAGAAACAATAGTTTCCCCTCCTCACTCCTTTAGCACAGAAATGAACCTCCAATAACATATTCCAAATATCATCAAGATCAGACATTGTCAGACAGGTATTTGTGAGTATGTGACTTATCTTTAACAGATAAGCTATAGGAAATCCAGCTGTATCCAGCTTTAGGTGTTATTTCTTTTTATCTGTCCCCTTTCCATTCCAGAGATTCCTGCTTCCACAGCAGTCTATCAAAACCAAACACATTTGTATCTCAGTAGCTAAAACTCATAATCCCCCAATTTTTCACAAAGAACAGTGTTAGATCAGATAAAATTCTGAAGTTTGGTTCTACTATGATAAGTACCCGATGGAAAAGAATATTTGGGTTTTTTTTCGTGGAGTAAGTAACCTCTGTTGTGGTTTTGTACATCAACAAAATATTTTGCTCATTTCCAATCATTATGCCTCTACAAAACTTGATTCAGACCACGGTCTGTATAGATCTATTAAAGGGTGTCATATGCTACCAAGAATATGTTTTTACTGGCCTCCACTGAAGAAAAATTGGAGAAAAAAACCCCTATTTTAGAAACTGAAAACTTTAAAGTGGAATTTTTTAAGAGTCAAAAATATGTCACGATTTTTTCAGAGAAGTCATGTCTGACTTGATGGTTGTTTCTTTCATGTGGTAACATTTTGAAAAGGGCTAATGTGACTTCAATTACTGTGAACTGTTTTCAGAGGAATTAGCAGATTAAGCATGTTTATAGTCATGTATAGGTGTCAAACTGGACAAAAAAGCTTAAATTTCACCAAGTTCTTTTGAAAATGTAATCTTTTTACTCTTCTTGTTATTAACCTTTAGTGTCTGTTTTTATGTAGTATGAAGATGACTAGGATGAAAAGTGTTATTCATATGTGCAGAATGTTGCTAATTTCTAGTCTACCTAGAACTAGGGAGTCCTTGGGATGAACAAGCAGATCCCATCAGTTGCTTTTCAATATAAGACTATGACCAAAAACCAAAGTATCTCTAGGGCTTCCAAAATGAACTTGCTTCTGTGGGCTGCACCTATTGAAGTGGAGATGTGCCATAAAGCATATTTTATTTCTCTATTATATGATACCATCTCATCATATCTGGTATAGGGTCCTAGTTGTTTATCTCACTGTTAATTTTAAACAATTACAAGTACCGCACTGTATAATATCTTGATGCACTAACTACCAAGTTAATATGTTTTTTCCTCATCTTTTGTCCATTAACAAAAGAATGCAACTTGCCCCTCATACATATTAGTTCCTTATTAGTTTTTCTATGTGTACCAAGATGAAATAAAAATTTCTGGTTTATGTATTCAGTGACACCTTTACAAAGGAAGGGTGATTTAGCTGTTGTTTTTCTTCCTCTGTTTGCTTAGCTGTGCAAAACAGACTTTCAAAGGCAGCAGGGGCTCAGTCTGAGGTAATATGGCCTGTACCAGGTCTTCCTTTTATTTGTATACATAAAACATGTCAGTTTAGATTAAACTAGATCTCATTATCCTTATGGTTGGCCTCTTAACTCAAAAGGTGTGCTAATTCTCTGTCGTGCTTAGCAGCAGTCTGTGCACTGTATTAGTGCTCCCTTTTCTGGCTTGCAGATTTCAAAAGCCTTTCCATTTCTTATGTTCTTGAGTAATTTGGTGTTATTTTGTTTTGTTCTGGTGACAAAGATATACACATTACCAAGGAAACACCTTATGCCACTTTATTCCTTGTCTTCCTGTATTCACTGAACTTTCACTAAGGGGAGGCGTTCAACATCAAAGCAAAAAAGTTTAACAGAAGAAATTCTGCCTGAAGATACTTGCAACAGCAGAGAGATCATTCCTAATGTCCTAATGAAGACATCTTGGATTTATCCAAGCTGATGCAGTCTCCCTTATTAGAAAAAAAAAAAAAAAAGTTTTGTAGGGCATTATAAAGAAAATACAAGCAAATTACAATGCCTTATAGGCATCATTCTCCTCTTATATTTAATGAATAAATGATGAATCATTATACTGAAGTTGATAGAAGTGCTTTGCTTGTAGAGGTGAGTGGAGAATCACGTGTGTTTGCTTGATGTGAAACAGGTTCTCTCATTACGGCAATCTGGTAATTATAGGATTGGCTTTCACATACATAGGATTTGGCAGTCAGCCTCTTTTTTGGGAGAGGCACTGTCTTTAAAACACATCATTGAATTCCTATCCACCATCAATATTTTGATTACTAGAACTAGTAATGGGTATATAATTTTGTTCAGTGAAGACTCACCAATTAGTGTACTCAGACCTCTACCTTTGTTTCCTTTTTTTATTTCTGAATTCAGACTTGTGTTAATTTCTCTTTCAAAATACTTCTTCAGAAATTGAAACAATTTCATACAGTAAAGCAAGCAGACTGTGCAAACAATGCACTTAACTGTGTCAAGTGTTGAGGCACTAAAGTTGCCACCATTTACTGAGGACTAATTTCCAAGTATGGTTGATATGCAGCCCTTCATCTGGTCACTGGTTAAGGGGGAGTTTTAAAGCATGTGCTGAAGTCATGTCCATTTTATTAATTATAAACACTAACCAGTGGTTAAGCACACGCATAAATGCCTTTCTCAGTTGAGCCCTATTCTCCCAGTTCAATGCAGGCCTCTGCGTTGGATGAATGTTGACCAGGGTCCACTGCATTCAAGCCTAGTTGACCTGAATGTCAATGGCCTGTGAGCTTTACGCTGTCTTTCATAAATCAACACTGATATATTGCAGCTGGCATATATATAGTACAATATACTTCAACAACCTCATCCAGTATAAAGCTGCTATGAGATGATCACCTTGCTGCTGAACAAAGGCCCAGTGTGAAATTTCTGTGATTCTAGCTGAAATTGCTCTTCTGAATTATGATCTTCAGGATATTAAGAAGCAGGCTGTTTGTATCTGGACTCACTCAGGAGACAATAAATCAGAATTAGACTGACAGAGGTGCCATCATTTCAGCAGAGTTAACAGATCTTCACCACAGATTTCCATTTGGAAGAAGCATTCTTGAGACATGTACAGATGTCTAGGGTGATGTTTCTTAACCCACAGCTTGTGAATGATTTTGTCAAATACTGAATGGTGGTTTAGTAAACTTACAGTTTTCTTCAAGCCACAGACGTTCTCATGAGTGTAAGCTGGCAAACAACTGAATAGGAGAAAACAAAAAATAAGAGAACTTTGAAATTTCTGCCTCATTTTAGTTAACTGCAAATGAAAAGCTTTGTGGTGAAACTGTGCAAAATGTGTCCACATCTTTTTCAAAAGCTGTGGGAGGTCTTCCAGTTGAAAAGACTGAGAGTCATTGCTCTCAGGCATCATAAAGATTCATGCATGTTTCCTGACATAGCTTTTGATTTCAGTAAAGTAATACATGAGATGACTGATGCAAGCATTTTAGCTGCTTTGTATTCACAACCAGGGCTGAGTCAAATTTGAAGTGCAGAACCTGAAAAGGGTAAGGCCTGCAGGCTATACTGAGCCATCAGTCCCATTTCTGTGATGCAGTCTGATCCCCACCCTTAGCACAAATGTGATTTTGCTGGTGTTACACAGGTTACAAATTGAGTTAGATTCATTGTGTAGTACTGAGGCGAGGTAATGAAAGTCCTGACAAGAACAGATGCTGTCACTTTAAGTGGTTTCTGAGAATTGAAACAAGTAGCTTTGAGGCTTAGACCTGCAGAGAGGACAACAAAATTATTTTAGAAACTGAGATATACTTTAGAGAATAAACCAGAATTTAAATAACTAAGCATATGTTTGATCTCATATAATCTCTCATTGAAGCAACATACTCCTTATCCTGATTAGGAGAATAACTGCAGTACAACACTAGTGACAATAATGTGTAACTTTCCATTGTGAAATATACATTATTATTTTAATTGCTGGACTAGCCAAGATAATTTCACACTAATCTTGTCAGAAAGTTCATACTATATTATCATAAAATATGTGTATAAAAGCAGAGCTAAGTCTATAGTGCACTCTTTATTTGGGTATTTTCCAAACCAGTGGGTTAAATCCTATTCTTTATGTATATATAAAAAAATATAATTTTCATCATGGTATCCTCCATTTCTTGTGACTCAATTTGTAGATCTGTAGTTGAGCCAAAGATGAAATGCAGGTTTCTTCTGACTAAGGGAACATGTTAGGTAGACAATAATGTGATAAATATATTTTCACTGCATACATGCATGCCCTCTTAGTAAAAAAAGGGAGCAAACTTATTCCTTTTTACAAAAATATCCTGCAGTCTTTTTAAAGCAACCTCCCTCTAAGGATGATTGAACTTCTGGAGAAGTTATAAACATACATCAAGGCACTGTAATTATTCTGTTATCATGTGTCTCAGGAATATGGGAGGACCCAGTATAGGTAAAGATTAGATTATTTTGAGGGAAAGATGTGTTAGTAGCAAAATTTTATTAGCTATATATTCAGTTTACTTCTCATTTTCAGAACTGTATTGGTTTCAAACTCTGGTTCTTTGTAGCTTGATATAGAAAAAATACTGAATTGTCCCTTTCTTATGTTAATAACTTTTCCCATAGCCAATATTTTTTATTGGTGTAATGAAACATGATTATAGTTGTTAAGATTCTGTAATTATGAAGTGGGGGGAACATGTCCGCTGTCAGGGATAAAATGTTTTCATAGTTTTATATGATTACTTTTAATGAGGTCTGTCCTATGCAGGGGCAGGATATGAATTCCTCTTGAAGTGTACATAACTTTATATGAGTTGAGTACTGAGTACTTTCCATTAAACAGAAACATTCATCTCCATACAGCAATTTAAAATATCTGTGAGGTATATGGTATAATATAGATGCAGCAATGTTAAAAAGTATACTTAAAAGAGGTTTTTCCTCTCTAGGAATAGATTATTGACTTAGTTCAATATTCTTGGGATGTAACATTTTAAATTTCTTGCTTTTTGAATACATATCCACCTGCCCTTTTTACTGGAAGTTTATGTTACTGTGTGATTTCCTAGAAATTTTTAAAAATCTAGTTTAACAAGTAGTAAAACAACCATCTCTCACTTTGCGTGAATTCTCTGAAAACCTCGAACTTGCAAATGAAAATCCCATCACATTTATCCAACTCTTATAATCAGATTTTTTTTCAAAAAAAATGCTAGGTCTTTCTAGTGTGCTGTTGCCACTTTATTTCATAGAATGAAAAGAAGAAAACAAAAAAGCTTGATGGGAAATGTGAAAAGCAAAAATAAAGAAACATGTTAAAAATGTATGAGAGGTTATTGGGAGGGCTAGATAGGGAACCACCGGATGTAAAAGCAAGTCTTAGTTCTGAGATGTGTACAGGACCTGCTTCAAGATGTGTCTGTAGATGTTTTGTAACAGTTTCCAGTCTCCAATAGCTGATAGAAATGAAAAAGTCAACCAAATCTCTAGCCTGAAAGTGGGTGACAATTTATGAATGAGGATGAGTGTTCGAGGGGACAAATAAAAGGGTAAAATATTAGTCGCTATCAAGCAGTCTGTTTAATTTGAGCAGAAAAGCTTAGTGGAAATGTGTATCACTTTTTGAAACAGAAGGGAAAAAGGCCATCCTGAAAAAGCTGGCATTGTTTAACTTTTGAGTAATGGGAACTCCTAGAATTAATGAGATATCAGTGAAATGCAAGAGACAGCATGTGAATGTCCAGCCTGGAAGAACAGAAAAGAGCTTACACTTTTAAGTGAAACATGATCTTAGGCTAAAACAGATTATAGGAATTTGGCAAACAATTTGCTACTGGCATAGTGAACATGAAAATATTCTTCTCACAAGTAGAAATCTTATTGTGTTAGAGAGAGACTAAAAGCTGAAAGCAGATAAGGCCACATCAGGTAACGTAAATGTGAGCAAAATCCTTTGCTACAGAAGTGCTTACGCACATCACAATGACCATAACGGAACAGGCCAGGAGTCCACCCCGTCCCACACATTCAAGCCACCAGCTGCACCTCCCAGCTGGGCACCAGCAACATGGCCCATCCTGCAGCAGCTCTGCAACTAAGGCAGCAGTGGCAGCAATGCATGCTGCTCTTCAGTGAGGACATTCTCTAGTATATCAGGAAGACCTACTGTACTGTACAAACTAAGCAGACGCTTAAGAAATAGAAGACACTACTTGCCGTGTTGGATGAGCCAGAGAAGTCCAATGCAGAGAAGGAACCACTGGAAATATTTCCTGATACATGGAAATACTCCTGCTACAAGGGAGAGCAGTGAACCCAAAGGCTCTGAAGCTGTGAGATAAAAATGCACTGTTTGGAGTTCTAATGGATAAGTGTATCTGTGTTTTGCCATGACAGTACATTTGCTTTTTGAAAGGTCTAGTGGATGAACAAGTATTGTCTCGGTGTTCCTTTGTCTTACAGATCTTGTCATGAATTCTTGGAGGGATGTGTACACACACTCCCCACCCAGAAAAATGTGGCTAGTTGCAGATATATAGGGAAAACCAGTGAAATCAAGAGGTAGTGCATTGACAGTGTACTTGGCAGAAAAAAGTAACCAGAAGTACAATAATAGAAATCCAAAATTCTGGATTTGATATATTTACAGTGATCTCCTGGATGTACTATAGTTTGTGTGTGACCTTGGATAAATGTCCTGATTCCTTTGTACTTCAATACTCTAACTAAAACCCAGCATATTTCATTTGCCTATTTAAAATGTAGAGTGTCTTTTATTATATAAAAATCCAGTACAAGGCAAAAACCAGATCTAGCCTTTATTAGTGCTTACAAAAATGAGACAAGATGCTTAAAACATAAGGGTAGCAATGAAAAATAAAGTAATGGCAGTTTATATGCATTTGGTATTTGGGTTTTTTGGATGTAAGTCTACCTGCATATTCCCAGTAAGTTACTGTAGCTTATTTTCACCTGTTATATTGTTTTTCTACTGTAAAGCTTCTGCATCTTTGTTGTCTGTGCTTTTGGCCCACTGGTCATGTAGCAGCTTACATTAAATGAGACATTCACAGAATGAAGGAAGAATGTTCCAGTGTTTTAGAATGAATTTGGAAAAAAATCTTGAAAACCTAATGGTGAACATATGCTAGTAGTGAACAGGTTCCAGGCTGCAGATCCATTGAACTCAAATCAGTTAAAAGTCCCTGTTACAGAGCTGTGGCTCTTTAATTCAGGCAATAACATTTTATGATCCATTCTGTCAACAAGAATTCCAACACCTTTAAGTTGCTCAAGTTCAGAGCTTGCTTATATACCACAAACTGCAAATCATTTTGATGATAATTGCATATGTGAGGTTAGTATTGGGTCACATGATAAGCATGTGGAACACATAGAAAAGGTATAAAATATAGCATTAATATAATGCTGTGACTATATTGTATTACTTACCAGTCAATTTTATATTAACATTTGATTTTATGTATCTGTCCTAATGGACACTTACGGTAGAAAAAAAAATTAGATTCTCAGAAGTTCCACTGATGAATGGCTATAAAATTAATTTATTTTGCCCTATATAATCTATTCTCTCTGTTTATTGTTGACTTTGCAGGCAAGTTCTTTCATTTGATAATTTTCTTTGTTGTAACACATTTTTTTTTGCCTTCGTTTCTTTGCCTCTGCAGTTCTGTGCAACACTTGGAACCACACCTTGCTGCTCCTTTGACAAACTGTTAGAACTGGGTCCTATCTGTAAGTCTTTGCTGCTACTTTCTAAAATGACAGATACCAGTTTAAGCCACACTGTGTCTTTTCCAGGGTATTGTGCAACGTCAGTGTCCAAATTCAATAAGACTACTTATAGATGAGACCTTCAGTTACAGTTTTCTTTCTAATATTAGGTCAAGCAGCAAGCTTGCATTCTCAAACAGCTAAAGGTACAGAGGACATTGCCTCAAGGGTGTTTTTGTTGGGGGGTGGGGGTGTATTTTGGAACACTCAGTTAAAAATTACTATAAATGCTTCTGTTTGTAACATTTTTCTTCAAGCCCCTTTTCCTGCAAGTGCATCTAGAGAAATGATGAATATTAGGGAAAAGCTGAACTCTAATTCCTCTCTGCACAAAGTGTTTTGTTTTTGTCTGGTTCTAACTCTATAAAAAGCAGGGAAATATGAACTAAAAATCTACATGTATTCTCCTTAGTCCTTCCTCTCCGTTTCCTGATTTTCTTCCTCTTGCAAGAAAGAAAAAATGCCAGGGTGTTTAATGCAGTAACCGAGTCATGGACTCTTCAGAAGTCTGTTGTGTCAAGCTTTGATCTGCAGCAAGGCTTGGTCAAAAGCACGCACTTGCTGGCTGATGAAAATGCAAGACCCCTCCAAGACTCAGTTTCTCCCAATCCTCCTTTCTAAGAAGGTTTCATGTAGTCTGTTTAGCAGCTAGAGATTATTTTCCTGTTCAGGTTATTCCTATAGACCTGACCTAATAAAATGGTGACACCAATAGTTATAGGTATAACTACTAATCATGTGTGTTTGACCAGTTGCTCTCAAAGATTTCCTGCTTGTGCAGCAGAGACCAGAACGATTGCATGCTATTCAAATCATGTCTCATGCTAGCTTTTGTGTGTGCAGGTGAATTTTCTTCTTAATATACATGAGCAGGAGTCCTATAAAATAAAGGCAGTGTCTCAGACCAAGTATATTTAAAAATAATCAGTTGAACTTTGAACATGTTTTCAAATAAACCTAAGTCGTGGATGCTATGAATAATATTTTATTAGCTTTTTCCAGACATTTATGCAAAAAGAAAATGTAGTTCACAAGAATGCAAATTCCATCATGAACTTGGTGCCCAAGTGCAGATCCAAAATGATATACCTCTGTATATAGAAATACCCATGAGAATTATTTGGTGACCAGGGTAAAGAAGTAATGTGGGCTTCAGTCATCAACTCATAGTCCAGAATTGTTACCGTGCATTAATATGTGATGAATAGCAGAGTTGTGAATACTGATTTACAGAGAATACATGAAAGGTTCATATGCTAAAATATTTCTGCAGAAACCATTCAGTGACTAATCAAAACTAGCACTTTCTTAACCTTTCAGTGTGTAAGTGCACTTATGCATAAGTGCTTAAGTGTCTCAGTCCTTGAAATAGTTTGCTGCACATAGTTCAAAAGCATGCGCATGCACATGTATCAGTATGTAAAAAATACTGTTTAGAAATGTGTGTTTGTGATTCATGAGTTAGAAGTGGGGAGCACAGCTATAACTCAAGCTCCTCTTGCTAAAGTAGATAGTTTTACTACTGTAAAAATGATAACTACATCTCTAGATTCATCTTTTTAAAGTGTAATTTCTCATAGTTCTTAAAATAATTTAATATTTTGCTTAATATTAATAAGATTGACCTAGACATGTAAGGACTCTGTTCCAGTAGAAGTGGTGAGGAGGAAAAATATGTATATGTTATTTATACATCTTTATGTATTAATGGAAACCCGGATGGTAGAAACATTTAATCTCTTAAATTTAATTTTAAATTGGGAAAACAATAACATCAAAGAAAAATCTCTCAGGCACTTGGTTTCATGCAAATTAATAGGACTTTTTAGTCTGCTGTTTTATTTATTTCATCTTCAATTACTTTTTTTTTTTTTTTAGGTAATAAGGAAAATATCTGGATGCATATTGATGCAGCCTATGCTGGGAGTGCATTCATCTGCCCTGAATTCAGGCATCTGTTAAACGGAGTGGAGGTGAATGAAGTGTTTCTTTTCTAGCAGCCTGCTAAAAACTTGCTCTTTCATAGAATTTTTGTCTTTCTTATGTATCCAACATTAACGACTGTTCTAGAATCTCTGAGTATGCTGCACTTCAGTTTGCACTAGAAATCCCTGTATATTCTATTACATTACTTATGTTTATATAATTTTAATGGATTTATTCCGGGAATATGCAAGTTACCACAGTATGTTAAAGTTTATCATTCAGAATAGCAAGTAGTAGTGAATCAACAAAGTATCTTACAAAATAGAAAAGAGGAACATTTTCCCAAATATCCAAAAAGGCATGTTTATAACACCCCAATTCTACATTGCACAAAAAGAAAAAGAAAATAAGTTCAACAAATTAATGAGCTCATTATGTCTGATTTTTTGCTTACATCCTGAAAGTCATACAGGATACAGCCAGTAGCTGTATCTCAAACAGACAGGGTTTAATAACCAAGTAAGCTAAATTAAATATTCCCCCAACAGCACTCCTGTTCCTTTTCCCCCCTCCCTCACTGAGCTACTTGGCATTCAGTTGCTTAGATAAGAATACTTCAATTTCCTGCTGCTCCCCTCAGACAGTCTGATAAGTCCTTGTCTTCCACATCTGTGCAGAAAATATTACTGTTTGGTAAAGCCAGAAGTTTAAACATAGCACTGATAGGTAGTGACTAATGAAGAAGAGGAGGGAAAACCCCCTCACAAATAAAGCATTTCTTTCTGTCTCTTTTTTTTATCAGCACATGAAGCTTGTTGTAATTTCCTGTAGGGGAATATTTTTTAAATTATTGTTATTGGTTCCTGAAGGAAATGAAACAGCATCCCTTGTCTGGGCCAGCATTTGTCATAAGAGTAAATATTTAACAACCATGAACAGGTTTCCTACCTTACATAGTACAGGAAGATAGCTAGATAGATGTATAGATACATAGATGACAGACAGACAGACAGATAATCTTCTCTTATGAGAGAAATCATTAATTGTTTACAAGTGACAGGGAAGGTTATGAGAAGCAAATGAGAACAGAAAAGTGCTATATGGAGTAGTCAGACCCTGGTGCTGCCAGGCTCTCATCTCTCTTTTTTAAGGCTGATGGCTTCTGCCTTTGTTAAAACACAAACCATGGATGAAGCCTTCCCCACATGATGTCTGTCTTACCTACCTGGGTTTCCTCTGATGCCACGCTTAAACATATGTCAAGTAAAACAGGCCTGTTACATGATTTATATAAACATGTATTGTGAATGCTTATTCTGTGTTGGTTTTTCTTTTGACTTAGATGAAAAAATTACTTCTACTGAAAGAAAATGCCCTGGCAGTAAAAAAAAAAAAAAAAAGGCATTTCCTGGTCGGTTGTAATTTTATGAATGAATGTCATAAGCAGATTCTGAACTAATATTATTTGTCTCTATGTATGAATTTTCTGTGTATATGTTTAACATTCTTGGAAATAGTAAGCTTAGTGATTTTTTATTGGAAATTGGGATATGAATCACAGTGGATGTTCCTAAGTATGCAGATTTTTTTTAGTTTACAGTGACATACATACTTTTCCATAACATATGTATCTAAAAATAATAATGGTTAGCAAATGCTCAAAATGTTGGTAATACCAATAGCCTAGCTGCACATCTAACCTGAATTCCATCCCCAAAATAAATTTAACTACAAAAGATTTAACTACAGTAGTTATTAAGTAAAATGACATCAGCATGAACATTATCTAGAAAGACCCAATTCAGGAATTCATTCATAGTTAAGATATACTCAGACAATTTGACAAAGTTGTATCATTAGGACGTGGATCCTTTTCTCTTTCATAATTCTTTTCTTTATTGATCCATTCTCAGTTTGCAGATTCATTTAACTTTAATCCTCACAAATGGCTACTCGTGAATTTTGACTGCTCTGCTATGTGGTAAGTATTACAGTACAAGGAAACATTATAAGAGATAAAAAATAATGTGTTAAATTAGTTTGCCTTTCTATCAGTAGACATTTATTTGCATTTCTCTATTGAAATGAGGAGTTCTGGATAGCTTTAACTCTTGTAAATTATTTACAAAATTCAGTCTTCCATTTAATCCAAATTTCAAGCAAGTAAAATTTAGAAATAGGCCTGATCTCTGCATTATGTTCCAGAGAGAGAGAGATATCCCCAAAAGTCTGCAGATTCATATTTACTCCATTTTGGGACTGTTTAAAACATAAATGAAAACGCTTCATTTACGGATGTTAATGCAATGAACAGCATGCTAAACAGAGCTTTTTCTTCTTTTCCATAAATTTTATTTTTGCTTGAGCCTTGACTCTTTCAAAAGCCGTTCCAAAAATGCTTGGGATTTGGCTGATGAAAAGCATCTGATTTCAAAAAGGACTATTTATGCAATTTTGTACTGATTTTCAATTTCCCAGGTGACAGCAGAGACGGCATTTTGATATAAAAAGATACCAAAGTAGAAACCTGTAGACATAATTTGAAACAAAGCAAAGTATCATAGCACTAATACTAGCAGTAATAACAACATCCCATAATAGATGATATATTGTGTCCCAGCCTGGAATTTCCAGATCCTAGTGTCTACCAGCATCACGACTAATGATACTTATTAGCAAAACAGCTATTCAGTAAATGCAGACTATTTACCAAAATAAACAAAACATTTCAGTTAGAATAAAATTTGCAAAAATTAAAAAAGAAGGAAAAACTGAATAATAAAAAGAAGACTCCAAAACATCATCCAGAAAAAAGTCACCTTATTTAAAAGAATAAATGTGAGACAGTGATCACTCAGTTACCTTCTGCTCTCTTAATATCCTCAGCAAAGTTGACTTTTCCACAAATATGTAGGTTATGCAGATAATGCATTACATTTTTTACTTTAATAGTTTTCCTGATGTATGCACTTGAAATATACCAAGCCATTATGTTTTTTATTTCCTTTCCTTAGAGTAAATGGCTTCCATTTTGGTCTGATTCATCAGTAGTGCCAGTGATTAATCCAAGACTCCAGTTCATAAGTACCTCGTAACTAGTTGTGTGTCTCTGTATATGAAAACGGGAAGACAATGAAATGCCTTTGCTAGTTTCTCCCATCTTCTCATCACGCAAAGACGTTGTTAACAAAGTCGTCACTCAGAAATGAGACAGTACACCATCATTCTCTTTAATCTTTGTAGGACAGTTAGGGGCCAGAGTCTACTCCCTACCAGTTTAATTTCTCATTAATTCTGCTTTCCCTGAAAACCCTGTGGAACTATGTTAAAAGTGTTTTACTTGGCTTTCCAGGAAAACAAGGTATATATTATACAATCACACTGTCAGTTTATGTTCCCATCTTGGTTGATTTTTGCTTCTTCCTATCAAAGCTTAGACTTTAGATTTAGGAAACTATTCTTTTCCATTTTTTTTTTTTTTTTTTTTTTTTTTTTAGATAAGTTATTTCATAAAATGCTTGCTTGTTTTCATAGGTAGGGAGATTCCATTATAAGGAATCTCAAGAGACCTTGCCACATGTCTCCTTACCCAAAGTGAAAGCTTCAAAATTATAGCTGTTCAGGCTTCATTTCAGCAAGGTGTTGATGTATAGGTGTTATCCACTTAATAACAAAGGAAGTATATATTGAAACTCTGACATGAAGCCAAATCCATCATCCAACTACTTCTAAGGCCCATGTTCAAAATTCACCTCTCTTACCAACTGTAACACTGCCTGATAAGGTGAAATGTAATAAAGGATGAAGGAACCTGGTGAGAAAAAGTAACAGTGGAGGATACGTAGTCCTCCTGAGATTAATGGGAAGTATTAACCATGATATTGTAATATTACAGAAAGAGTTGAATAAACAGTGAACAGCATTTCAGAATCAAATTAAGGTGAGTTCCATTGACAGCCTTCCCAGCACTTTTCCCAGTAAACACTCCCATTTCTTTTCCCTACGAGTTGATTAAGATAATCTAGCCATTAGATCTGTAATGTAATTATTTAACTACTCAGTGCAATATGTAGTAGTGATGTCATTTGGGATTTGGAGGCAATTTTCATTATAAAACTTTTGTAAAATATTCTCAGACTACTTGATGTACAGAAAAGAGCAGTGAATTTCCTATAAAAAGGAATTTAATGTAGCCACTCCAAGATGGGTATATTTTCCATATTCAAATGTTAGGGTCCTTTAGAGACTTTGCCTTGAAACTACCAGTCAGTTTTGTGTGACTTGTTTAATTGGTTTCCTGGAGTACTATAAAATAGGAAGAAGTATCTTCTTTCAGAGAGAGTGAAAATAATAATCTTGCAAAGTCTTGGTATTTTTGCTTTTCTATTACTCTTTTCAGGGTTTAAGTGTTAACATTTTGTTGGGAAGACTGTTTTAGTATTTGTAAGGAAGGTGACTACAGGAAATGCTTATCTGTAAACAGAAGTGAAATTTTCCTGCTGGTTTATAATATAAAGTCAACTTTTTGGTTATTTTATCTGCCATTTAAAATAGACAGAATAGAGTGAGGGTGTTAAATGCTGCAGATGTGCAATCCAAGTAAATCACTTTTCACAGATTTTCACTACTTTATTCATCAGGAGTTTTGTTGCACATTTTGTATTATGAGTACTTAATATGTGAATCTGTGCCACTCAAGCTAGATTTTAGTAGGTCTATTAGGATAAAATCAAGCCTTAAAAAAATTCTAGTTTATCAGTGACATTATTGAACTATATATTCACAATCCTTCAGTCAACCAGGGGTATTTGCCAAGAAAGTCAAAACCACTACTTCTCCATTACCAGACTTACTGCAAAGAAGTTTAAATACACAGGATGAAATCTAGACATGGTGTATAGAGGTGCAACTCAACTAGTTCATATACATTGATGTCCAGGCTCTGGATTTTTTAAAAATAATCTTTTTAGACAGTTTTTCATGGTTGCCAGATTAAGGTCTGTGAAGTCCCCAAATGGAACAGACACCATCTTTTAAAAATGCAAGTAACAGCACCAAGGAAGTACAAGATGACAGCATTTTTATGTCTTCTAAGCTAGATGTTTCTGCAGAATACTTGTCTGTTCCATTGTTTAGCACAGCATATTGCAGGAGAAAAAATGAAGCTCTCGCAAGACAACTAATGTTATTGCATGTAACTTGGGTTAGTTGCATACAGAATGAGCTACTGAAACATGAATCTATCAAAGTAATCAAACATATTAAATAAGCTACAATAGAACAACTTAGAGTTTGCTAAAAATACTTACCCTAATTAAACCTGCTTTCAGTTAATAGGTTCTTCCTTCTGTCCATAGGACATTTCCATCACACAAACAGGTTCTTAATTGTTTTTATTGAGAGCACTCTGAATATCTTACTATTTTTCATGTGCATCAGATTCTTTATCTTCAGCTTTGTACTTCCATACCTGAAGGCAAGTACTTAACTGCTAATCTTGGTACTTCCCTGACCATTAGTGAGAGGAAGGCTTTTTATTTGTTTGACTAAGGTGCTTTATGAGCACAGCTTAGATGTGGATGAGAGTGGGAATATGTACTGGTCTGTGCATTTATACATACACACTGAAATATTGGAAATTAGATTTTTACTTAGAAATTTATAATTTTACATTAAAACCCAGAAAGAAAACAGATGCACAGAAAATCATAAAAGGTTTAGAGTTTTGTCATTTGTAGTGTCCCTGTGGTGACATAATTATTGCTTACTTTGTAATATATTTATGGGCCTAATATAATGATGTAGCAGTCTTTCCCTTTTTGATTTCTGGTTTTTTCTTCTGCCTCTATAAACCCCAACATTTGTGGAGGGGAATCAGTCTCACACAGAGTGAAGCATGAACCAGCAAAATCTTGTTATTACCCACTGGCAAAACGTAGTTTATTCTCTGTAAAAGGGGCATATTGGCTTCTGAACGTCAGTCCAGTCACAGCATCCACTAGCTGGCAATACTAAGGTATGCTTCTCAGTTTTGCATTGTGCTGCAGTATGTCTGTCAGTAATTGTATATTGGACCCAGCTAAGGGCAGGGTGGCACAAGAGGGAAACCTGAGTCTGGACCAGGGTGCTCATCTCTACCAGTGGCTGCTGCTGCCACCACTGCAGCATGGAGAGACAGTGGCCAGCATCCATAAGGCCTCACCACTGCTGTGCATGTTGTCTAGGAAGCCACAGCTCTTCCCACACAGCTTTGTACTGCAGTAATTTCAAGGCAACTTCTGTTGACTGCAAACATTAACATTGCTTCAGCTAGTCTCACATTCTGGTGTGAGTGTCTATCACCATAAAAAGATCCTCTGTGTCTGTTTCTTGTCTGTTTTTAAATATGCAGTCGTGCAGTCATGCTGCCCGTTCCTGCTGAGCCTTACACTTAACTACTTGTAAGTACAGTACTGATATGGCTGTGAAAAAGCACTGAAAACGGCACAGGCTGTGCTCAGGAAATACGCCAGTTTAAACACATACAATTTGCCTTCATTTCTTGTGGAAATTTAATCCCTTAAATTTAATTCTTTCTTTTTTATACAGGGTGAAAAAAAGATCAGATTTAACAGGTGCCTTTAAATTAGAACCTCTTTACCTGCAGCATCACCATCAGGAGTCTGGTAATTTTATAAATAAATTAGATTATTATTATTTTGTTTGCACACTGATATCTAATGGAAAAAAGGACTTAAGATGAAAACTAAAATTCTTTAAACTACATAAGTTGTTTAGCAGCCTATTTCCATTTTCAGAGTGCCCTAGGGAGTTAAGCCTATTAAAGTGAAAACACATGTCTAGTGAGATTTTAGTTAGTAAAAAAAGCAATTGAGGGAAAGACATTTTATAAAGCATTACATGAATACTTTTGTATTGGGATTTCCCCAGCTCCAGACTTAGCACTGACTGTAGGAGTGTTGAGAAAATTCTTAATGATCTTCTGGCAGTCAGATAAACATATTATTAGATGCTGTGTATCGAGTCCTTTAACCTGCCTTCCTCAACATACCTTTCTCCAGAATGGTTTCAAGATCTGTGTTGTTTTAGAGTTTCTAAGTCTGAGACCCTTTTTCTTAGCTATTTGTGGAAGGTCTGATTTCAAATTTCCAAAAACCCATACCAGGAGCAAACAGTCCCTGAAACTGCAAAGAAGGGGTGAGCTTTTGTTTGATATCTGTGCTCTATTTTGAATGATAGCTATCTGGGACATTATCCTGTTGCTCTCATGTTCTTGCATTGATTGTAGAGAAGGAGGTAAGTGCAGGCTATCCATCTTGTACAAAATGCTCATGAAAGCTCTTCACAATATGCTCACAAAGAACTTACAAATCTTACGCCCTACACAGAGCTCCTTAATGGATTAGCGCTGCTCCTTGCACATACCTAGCAACTGCAGAGCGGCGCTTGCCATCCAAAAGCCTGTTTTACACATTCAGTTATTAACTGATTAATTGTGAAGAAGGACACAGTAGTGCAGTGTCAACATGTGGTGCAAATTCTCTCATAACTTTCTTAAGAGGGTGAATCACATGTGGATGTTCTTACCGTTTATTTCGTATTTTTCCTGGAACTGCTGGTGCTGATCTGTGTTCAGAAGCGTATCCTGAGTATTTTTATCTTCTCTCCGTTATGGCTTTGAACTCATTGACATTTAAACTAACACCACCCAGAATTCCACCATTCACTAAAAAGCCCTAGGAAAAATGGATTCTTGTGCCTAAATCCTGAACTGGCAGAAATTTTCCATTTTATTCCTTTTCTACATTTCCAAGCAATGTAGATATAGAACAGTGCAATAAACAGGAAAATGCAGCAACTCTGGAGCTGAGGTTCACCCTCCAAAGGGTAGGATTGTTAAGAAAAAGCCTATATACTGCTTTTTTTTTTCTTTTTTAAATGAAAAATGCCAGTTACAGTGAATAAATTTAAGTCACTAGCTTTTACTTTGCATACATGAAAAATATTTCTCTTCAGGAGAAAAAAAGCCAACCTTAACTAAGGGGAAAATATGTTCTCGTGACAACTGACAGTACTGATAGAAAAACCTTAGATCTTCCCCAGGTTAAATAACACCAGAAGGAAATCAAATTTTTCTTAAAACTAGGTGCTTTCAGTGTGGCCACTTAGTTGACCTAAAAACTTCACCTCCTAATTTGGATAATAAGTTGTTCAGCCTTTGTCAGCTGTGATAGCATGTTATGTGATCTGGACAGAATGATTTCAAAGAGATCAGCTGATTACTAGCAGTCCAGTGACAATAAGTTTTTCTATGCTCTATTCTTATTTGATACCAATTTTCAAAAGAGCCGGACAACACTTTTTAAATGCTAATGCCTCTAGTTAAACTGTTAAATTCAATCCACACTTGCGTCTTCAATAAACATAGTCAAATTTGCAAAGGTGCAAATTTGTTGCAGTCCCTAATGATCCCTATGTGATTTATGGGATGTCAGCACTCCTGGAAATATGGCTTGTCTAATGGACAGTCTTATTTTCTGAGTATGTCTCAGGTTTGAAAATTCCCATCATGGTTTACAAGGCAAATGAAAAGCATTTTTGAATTTGCTCATCTCTCACTCAAGAATTTAAATGAGCGGAAAAATATCTCTATCTGTGAGCAATTACTCTTAATAACCACATGGCAATTATGTGTGCCCCCAAGGGGAAAGTATTTATTTTGTCATTAATTATAATTTTATGTGATTTGCATCATGACACCAGGAAGATTATACTAGCTTGCCTGGCAACCCAGGATATAGGTCAAATCCTAATGGCAGTGTTCGAAGAATGCAGCTTTATACTCTATTGTGAATGCCACATATGCTCCCACAATGCAATTCCTCCTGGTTAAATACAGATGTAAGACTAAGGCTTGTAATCAAGGACTAATCATTGATTGCATTCTGCTTCACAGCTTGTGAAAGGCGTTGTTGTGGATCATTAGACATAGCCCCTTACAGGAGCATAGGATTATTTATCTAGCACCAGTTGCTTTACTCTCTTTACTACCAGTCTTGCAGCTATCAAACAAAAATGGCTGCTATAATGCAGAAGAATGTGATTGTTATCATATTGCCTTGTTACTGAACTGAGACAACTATGTTCATTTCCTGAAGTCCAGGAACAGGTTAATGATTATTGGTTGTTGTGTGTTTTTTTTCATCTGGAAAATAATCTAGTAACAGGTTAAAGATCCAAACAGCTATATGTTGCAGGGAGGAAGCACCATGTTTTTTCCTATGCTTTGGCTGCGTAGATAAGAGAACACTGGCAAGAGAGCTTGTAAAACAGGAAATACAGTCTTTTTTAACTGCTAGAAAATGTAAAGGCTGAGAGTTTTGTAAATGACATAGACTGGTCAAATTCAGAAGTTCTATATAGTACCCCGCAGTTCAGAATTCTGGGAGCGCTTAGACAGCGCTTTCCCATGGAATTTAAATACCTATTTTCCTATGAACTCCTATACTCCACTGAAGAGTCATAAAGCAGAATAAAAAAGCTAAGCAGATGCTTCCACATTTACTTAAAGAAGTGCTTTAAATTTTACGTCAGTTTAATTTCTGTCACTGTCTTACTGCAAATAATCTAGTTTTATATTACAGCTTCCTTTACTGAGAAATCAGTTTGATTACCTGATTCAAAGAAAAGGTAGATGCATCTTGACTCTGTGTGCTTATATAAAAGATAACTATTAATGCCCTCTACTTGCCTCCCTGGACTGCTTTGTGGCTTAGTCAGTCTGTGTTTGTAAGGGGCTTTCACTAAATTAAATGAAAAGCCATAAAAAACCACAGAATACTATTCTCCAAGCAGAAAGAGGTCAATTCTGAGTCAAATTTCTAGTCACGTATCAGACATTTTGAAGAATTAGCAACAAATACATGAATGAGCGTAAAAGGTAGGTAGAAGTGGATTATTTTAAAAAGTGTTACCAGTACACTAGGGTAAAGGTGGTGACATTTCACAGCAGAGAATGAGTGTTGAAATGAGTTTGGGGATTCTGCAAAGTGTTTATAACATAATTAATAGTAGCTGGTTTATATACTACTTCTTTTTCTTACAAGAAGAAAAAAAACATCGTATTTAGACCATCATCTACCCAGTATCTGTGGTATAGCAGGAAAATTGTGTTTCTTCTCCTGTAAACTTTAATATGTTAGTGGTATATTCTAAGGAATGAAGCTTATTACAAGCACCTTCATTTAGCATGCTGCTAAGTATCCTACTAGATATTTAGTGGTCCTGTTGACACTGATGATTGCAGAAGTTTGTAGCAAATGTACGGGATAGCTAAGAGACAGCTTTTTCAATAACATTAGAATGATTAAAAGCTTTGGCTGTTGTGATGGAAGCAGTGTGAACGTTTTTTCTTTAACTTCCAGGCCTTGTAACAGATTATCGGGTAAGTACAGCATCAATGTAATAATTCATATTATTAGTGGTATATACTGATATTTTCAGGACTTCTATTTTCCATTACTATCATATACCTCAAAAACCTTATGTTTCTTTCCAGAAAGGATGCAGCTTGCTAATTTTTTAATATTCCTTAAGGTGAAACTTTAAACTCTTATTTTCTGAAAAAAATTGTTTAAAGGCTGACATTTTCTTTCATGTGCAATATCTCAAGGTTTAGACAGTAGAAAGAAGCATCCAAATGATTTTTTTTTTCCCCTTAAGGTAGTGAATAATACAATTTAAAATAAAGGTGTATGTGCTTTAATGTTTAACTAGTAGAAACACAGTTGTTTTGAAATGGAAAAGGGGCCTGTCATTGTAGATGCTAGCCCCACAACTATAAATAATGTACATGAGCTTCTGTTGTGGTTTAACCCCAGCTGGCAACTAAGCATCACGCAGCCTAGTGGGATGGGGAGAAGAATCAAAAAAAAAGAAGTAAAACTCATGGGTTGAGATAAGAATAGTTTAATAATTGAAAATAATTGAAAAATAATTATGATAATGATAATAAAACCAATAAAAACAATAAATCATAACAATAACAGTAACAATAACAATAACAATAACAATACTATTAATAATAGTTGTAATGAAAAGGAAGATAACAAAAAGAGAGAGAACTAAAACCCAGGAAAGACAAGTGATGCACAGTGCAATTGCTCGCCACCCTCTGACTGATGCCCAGCCAGTCTCTGAGCCAGAATCCATATCCTCAGGCAACTCCCCCCAATATATATACTGACCATGATGTCCTATGGCATGGAATATCCCTTTGGCTAGTTCAGGTCAGCTGTCCTGGCCATGCTCCCTCACAGCCTCTTGTGCACCTGCTCTCTGGCAGAGTGTGGGAAGCTGAAAAATCCTTAATTTAGGATAAGCACAATTTAGCAACAATTAAAACATCAGTTTGTTTTCAACATTATTGTCATATTAAATCCAAAATACAGCACTGCACCAGCTACTGGGAAGAAAATTAACTCTGCCCTAGCCAAAGCCAGGACAGCTTCTAAGATACTTACTTTTCTAAAACCTTCGAGGAGAACTCATGCACAAAGAAAATTTTATTTGCCTTTTGACCCTTCCATTCTGACACCAACCTCGTTTTCCAATTTTAATTTGAAAATTTTGAGTATTGAACAGTCACACCAGGGCATTAAACAGGAATAGACATTTCTACTATTATTTGACCCACTTCTAGCAACTGCCTGTAGGATATGGCAATGTGGCATGCTTCAAAATCATTTCAGAATGTGCAGTTTCTTCAGTATCACTGCAACAGGGACTTCTAACATGGGTGCCCTCCTTTCTCCCTGGCTTTCAGCACTGGCAAATCCCCCTGGGCAGGAGGTTCCGCTCCCTGAAGCTCTGGTTCGTACTGAGGATGTATGGGGTCACGGGACTGCAGGATCACATCCGCAAGGTGACTGGAATTCACATTCTTGGGTAACCTGTGGTGGGATGGCAAGGGAAAATGAGCTGGCTACCTGTCTACTTTCCGTGACTTCTGTACCCATCAGAAAGCACAGGCAACAGCTTTTAGAGAACTCAGTCCAAGAGGGGTGGTGCTCATTTGCCCCATGTGCTGTCACAATTTTGTATCATGGCAAGATCAAAACTGTCATCCATTTTGTGTTAATCTTTAGGGAAGAGAAATCTAGAAATTTGGAATTTCTGCAGTGTGGGACCATAGTTCCTTTTAAAATTAAGCAAGAGCATACCCATAGTTTTACTGCAGAAAAACATGTTTATTCATTACTTTTTGATTTTATTAATGTGCATGCATTGAGAGCATGTTTAGATTATGATTAAGGGATACAGTGACTTACTGTGCATGTATACCTCTGCTCCTTCTTTGTTTCCTGTTTAAAATACTTCTTTTTTTGTTGTTTTTTTTTTTAAATGTGTACAATTTACAGTTTGGTAACATTGTTATGAATAAGTACAAAGTTTATTCTTGATATAAAAAGAAGGGGTTTCTTTATCACTAAAACCCACATCTGGCGCCAGTCTAAATTATAGATATACTTCCTCTGTAGCAGTAAAGTCAAATTCAAGCATACCTTTTGTCTTTATGAAGTCTAGAGAAACTTCTAGTGAGGGGAAATCCATGACTTGGCTCTAAATATTTACAAAAATATGCATTAGCTAAGGATCTGATCTAGTATAGCAAACTCCTTGCAGACACACATTCCTTTTTACTGTGGTACTAAACAGATTAATTCCTAAGAAAGGCTTTTTTCCACTGTTATAAAATCACTGCATGAGGAAGTCCTTTTTGATCTGGAAAGGCTCTGGGATGGAGGATACCCTCTTTGTTTCTCATTTTTATCACACTATAATTTTCAACTGACTCTACGAGGCTTTCAGAAATAAATTCAGACAACGGTGGCAATCCTGATGCTCTGTCATCCTTGTGGCAATCTGATTACATATCCTTCTGATGAAAAATCAGTACAAGATTTGTTACCACTTTTACTAGGATACCATTACAGTTTCTGGTGGGATTCTCTCTCACATTAGATTTCTGAAGACTGCAATTATTTCAATATGATGCCAAGTTTTTAAGTAGGGCTGGGAAAACAGAGACTTGGAAGCCTCATACCAATTACACAGGTCTTTATCAGGCTGGTTTCCACAGGTCAGTATTTATATTCAACAAGATCCCTCCTTCCCTGTCTCCCAGAAATTTCCCTGAATGATCAGCCAAAAAGTGCTTGTCTTCCTCTAATCATAGCTGAGGACCAGGTTTTTATATTTTCTGTCACAATAAAGTTCAAGTAAGCTAAGCAAATAAATATTTTCTTAAAAATACTGGCTGCAAATGAAAGCCCTAATATGTTTCCTTATTTGTAAAGGTATTTCAGATAGCTAGATTCCCAAAGGCTCATTGGATTGAGTATGTATTTTAATATTTCACTAAGGACTAAATTGCTCCCCAGAGAAAAATAAGTTATGACCTTATGTTTGCAACAGGGCAAGAGGGGTAATTAAGTGCAGAATTCGGCTCACTGTATACATCTGTCAAACTGGAACCATTAAGTTAGTTTCTCCTTGCCACCTGCCTCCCCCAGATGAATGCTGGTTAAATTCAGTGGGTTCCAAAGCAGCTTTAAAAAAAAAGTCACTTCTATCTCTAGCAATTCTCTTTTCAACTTAAATTTCAAGAAATAATTGCATTTGATTTGCTCCCTGCTCTAGCAGAATTTAAGATACCTCTTGTGAGTTTGCAGACATGTTGGTAAAGTTGCATCCATAGCTCCAAAATAACAATTATAAATGTGTTTCATATCTTGCACATTTTCCCCTCTTCTCAGGAATTATTGTGGGTTCCAAATATCTTGTGATGACTTTTCTTTAGGTAGCATAGTAATGAAGTATGTAAACCAGCCTGACACTGGTTTGTATTTTCAAACCTACAGACGAGTTTCCAAATGAAAATTAATGTGAAATTTAACTTCACTTTAAAATTTCTTGTCCCAGTGCTTGGCCTCGAAAAGTTGCTTTCTTTTAAACATATAGCATCTTAACAATAACAGCTTTTATCTTCCTATTACTGGCAAAGGCTGTCCTTGAAGAGAATAGTTGATATTGTATCTTGTGTACTTGGGACTTTTAGCTGGGTTTCAAGGGAACAGCTGTAGTTGCCAGAATTATTTCTGAACCTGCATTTATTGCAGTGGGTGATACAGTGGACACAGGTAGAAAAGACCTAGGAACACTGGCAGAAGCAGGTATTTCAGCCTTCGAGTGGAGAGCAGACTGGATGGAGCTGGGGAAGCAGGAAGACGTGCTCTCTTTCTGTTGTGTACTTATTAAGGAGTTGCCTCAGGAAAAGGGCCACAGAGTCAGGCAGAAGAGCAGAGGTTTGAAACAGCTCCTTGGGCTGGAGCTTGGGGAAGGAGATGCCTACATTTGGGATGTAGCATGCACTCGTACACCACATAGTTTTTATAACGTCAGCATATCTGTGTGTAGGGCATATCATTCTTGCTCACGCTATACAATAGGCATGCCTGTTCAGGTTCAGGGCTGGGCTTTATTGAGAGGTTTGGGACCTAGGGTTTCGATTCATTTCTGAGTTTATAAAAACCCCAATATAGATGCTTGTGATCACCTAGGGAAAAAAAAAAAAGACACTTCAGCTCCTGATCACAGAAGACTGTAGGAAGATTTATCCAGTGTTTATAGACTTCTAGTTAAGCTTGTTTTACACAGCCAGGTATTACTTACAAAGTGATTTGAGATTTTCAGTAGTAATGAGCTTCTGACATGACACAGAGAGGAAAAACACTTCATATCCTGAAGAAGCCACCCTATTTGCTGTGTGATCACCAAGCTTCTATATGGAAGACCAAAGATAGCTATCAACTATCCCTTCACAAACCTTTTTTTTTTTTTTTTTTTTTTTTTTTTATCTTCTCCTTTATTAGTATGTTTTAAGAAAAATATGTTTGTTATGTCTGCAACCTTAAGGTCTGCATCAAAATGCTTGTACTGAGGAAGACATTTAGGAACTAAAATATTCTTGGTAGATGAGAATGTGTGACTTGCAGTAACTTTTTTGTTTTCTAAACCTTCCAGTTATGTACTCTTTTCCCATGCAACATGTAATATTAACCTATTGCTAAGTATAGGTTTTAAAGCAAGTGGTAAAGGGGAGGGACAGCCATCTCAGGCAGATGTGGGGAGAGAAAAATAAAAATTTTGGAGGTTAAGTACCAAAGCCTCAGTCAAAGGAGATGTACAAAGAAGGCAAACCCAACAACAGTAACAGTCTTCTGGACTGGTTCCAAACACTCAGAGTCAGTATAAATGTGAAACCCAAATGGCCTATTTGTAAATGGCCCATTTGCAAACTGTTTGACTATCTATTACTCCTTTATTGGTTTAAGTCCTCTCAAAGAGCTCAGAAGTCATTCCAGAAATTTAGCAGTTGATGTTTTTGTATGTGATCCCGATGAACATTCTGACTCAGATGAATCCTCCATAGGACCATAAGAAATCAGTGTACCGGGTCTTTCTTTCTTTGCCGAGGATAACTAATTCCATTAAAAATCAACAGCAGAGACTTAAGCTGTAGCTGTACCGAACAGCAAAGCCAGAGATAGCATTTCAGCTGGGGAGTGACACAGTCCGAGTGGCTGTTGAGAAGACACTTTTGACAGCATTTTCCTTCAGAGTGTAGTGGGATGTGAGCTAAGGCAGGCAAAGAGGTGAAATCTATAGGAGAAAAAGTATGAAGTGACCAAGGCTAGGCAGGTATGCTTACTTGCATATACACATTAATGTGGGCTGATGCTTCAGAGAAGCTCCCTTCAATCAAAAACTATTTTAGTTCTTGAAGGCTTTGCCCCAAAATCAAAATTGAGTTTAAACACCTCAGTGCAGAAGCATTTATATTTACACATATACATACACAAATACAGCTTGTTTTAAATAGGGACCACATCTTAATGCCTCACAAGTTTTCTGCTCCCATTAGTGATGATGTAAGACATTTCCCTTAATCTTGAATTGTTACTGTAAATTCGATCTCAACCCTCTGAGACTTAGTTTGAAGTTTTAGAAGGCAGGCATTTTTATTGCAGCGCTGGATGCATGTGGGATTGTTCCAGCTAACGTGCATACAGAAAGACAAGGGCACACTTAGCACACTTATTGTATACAATGAAAGAAATGAATATTCATGCTATTTCTGGGAAGTACACACCTATTTTCAGAGAATCTAGTGCATATGTTAATACATCGTGCAAATGTACTGAAATTTGGGGAAGAGTCCCTGAGGGGCTTCCACAGGTGTCTGCTGGTTTATCTGCCCTCCCCTGGATGTACCATCACGGTTGCAGAAATTAGGTCCTTGGGCCCATTCTTGTCTGAGGCCCCTTACAGCAATTAGCACCAACTGCTTGCAGGCATCAGCTAGCACTCATCAGAATAACTAAATGAATTGGATCCCTTTCTTGTTTCCCTTCTCACTTCAGGACAGCAATAGCTATTTACCTGAGATAGATAGTGATACACAAAAATTCCTTACAAGGTTCTTCAGTTTGCTAAATTTCACTGTGAAGAGAAGGGCTGGTACTCTGTTCCTATATACCAAAACTTTCCAGGCCACTAATGCAGTGATTCCCCTTTGGGAACCCACATGATAAAGGGATTTTCCAAATGATATTGCTAGAAACAGTATGTGAGTTGGTTTGTGTATGTCCACTTTTTTGTTATAGAACAGCATTAAATAAAATAATTTTTAAAGGTTAAATAATATTTGAATGCCAGCTCGAAGTTATTCTTAAGTTAATGGTACTAGGGACATGAGGACACAGCATGACACAAAAGCAAAAGCATTTTGAGGGTTAAAATATGCATATATCAGGCTTGATATGTACATATTCAGCAGAAAACTGAGAACCAACTCCTTGTCAGTGTTCACCTCTCCTTTCCTATCCTTAGTTTCAGTGCCCAGAGTTCTCCAGACAGGACTTTATTTTTACAGTTTACCTTCCTGTCTTGAAAAGTTGAAGCACTAAAACCACGTGTCCTCCTGTGAGCTACTGCTATGCTCACATCCAGAGTATGGGTACAGCTCTTGGACTCACAGACGCAGGCGTGATACCTAAAAGCCCTTCGGTTTTAAAAAGTTTCAACTTCTAGGCTTAATGCTTAACTTTATTGGGTTTAATTATGTTTGGTTGCAACAACCTTTGTAAAAGCAACTCAGGATAATAGCTTATAGTTCAAAGGTGCAGGGCCTTCGGTAAATGTGTTAAGCAGAGCTATTACAGGTGAAAAGGTCAGTTAAACTCCACTTTCCTTTCCAGTTCTGTATAATCAAAAACACTTGGTGCCCCCCAGTGGCTTCATAAATGATTGCTACTTGTTAAGACTCGCGATGGATAAAAGTACTTTCATCCAGACATGAATACAAAATATTTCCAGAATTTTGATCTGTGTTTTACAGAATATATTTTTCTTGCTTTGATTTCTTTCAAATTCCTGAAAATTCCTTTAGTGCAAAAAGTGGACATAAATACCTGCTATAAAATGCACAGCATGCATCCAGAGTTTTCTTTACAAACTACTTGCAGTAAGCCAAATCTTAAATTTTTATTTTATTCGGTTCTTACGCAGGTAAATTTTGATTAAATTTAGTTATTGATTACACTCAGCTGAACAGTTGTGCAATTCTTTTCTCATTGAACATGATTTTTTTAAATGGCTTTGATTTCCAAGATGCAGTATATGCAGTGTGAAATTTTGCAGAGCTGTGTAAAAGACATCCGTTTGGTTAAGGCTATAGAAGATGAGGATAAGAGGAAACAGTAAAAGATCATTACAACACGTATGCATATTTCACATATGTTTTCCATGCTCTTATGCATACAAGTATCTGTATGTATACATAGACTTCTGGTCAATTTTCTTCTGTCAATTAGCTGTAAACTCATGCTGTTTATATTAGCAGAACATTCAAATGCACTGGAAAGGATTGGGCAGTTTATTGGTCTGGTTCTTAACTCAAAGAGCTTTCAGTCTAATTTTAGATGATAAATGGATGTAACAAAGATCAAAGAGGAAGTGGTAACAACAGTTAAGATTGGATGGTTTGCATAGGGTGCCAGTATGCCCAATATGAAACTTTTGAAGCAATGTTTTGATTCAATATAAACAATGTTTTTCTATTTTCAGAAAGAAACAAACATCAGAAAGCTATGATTAAGATTGCAAAATGTGTTGTTGTTTTGTTTTATTTTGTTTTTTTCTGTTCTGTAATTTCTGTTTTGTCTTCTTCTTGCCCTTTTGGAAAAAGCTGCTGTGAGATGAAACATTCCACACTGAACCCTGGCCCAAAGTGAAATGTTTCATTTCTGTCCTGAACTTTCAAAAAAGCAAAGTGCAAAAGCAGGAAAAGACATGAGCTTAGTTGTTTATTTTTGTAAACTTATTTGTGATCGTAAATATATAAAAGCTAAGAAACTTTTAAACATCATTTTAGATGTTGCTGATAATTTTTGGTGTAGACTGGCTATTGCATGAAGACAAACTAATTCTAATAGATGATTTTTTTTTTTTTTTTTTTTTTTTTTTTAGGATAGTGAGCACTAAACTGATGATAGCCAGTGAGAGAGGGACTGGATAAGGTACTGCAGGTACCTGATGAGTATATGGGTTGTTTTTTTCCCATACCCTTTTCTGTTTGGAAGAAAGCAAAACATGGTATGAGAATGCATCACTGACTGATGTTAAGACTTCCCAGCTGGTTGTTAGTATGCTTGTTGGTTTATCTATTTGTTTGATTCTGGAGGAGCACTGGCTTCAAAATGCTCCTGTGCTCCAAAATAATTTCTCTGGCTTGGTGTCCAATGTCATTTTTTTCCCCAGTAACTTATAAACATGTTGGCTCAGATTTGCTATCCATTTTCTTGATTCTGCTGCCATCACCTTTCTTTTCAACTGAATCTCAGCACCCAGGTCAGGCGAGTCAGCAATTTCTCTCCTTCTTCACAGTTGCCATCATGTTAAGTGAACTATTCTAAAAAGTGTATCTTTCCAGCTTATTTTGCACTGGAATTGTGATAATTTTCTGTATTTATAGCTGTGCATCTCCCCCTTTCTGTATAATTTCTTCTGGACTCTTTAGCCATTCCCAGCCAAAACTGACAGTGGTAGAAAACCTAAAGAAGAATTATTACAATTACTTACTATTAATATGGTATCGTATAAAAGTGTGACGAAATGTTTCATTAAGAAATGGGCTAGTATTGCCTAAGATAGACTGAGCTACTAATATAGTAATGGCTCAGTATGGTCTCTGGAAGTCATAAATGGGATATAAGTTAACATAAACAGATGGTGATATGTGAATATTATCACATATCAGAGGAGAGAACAGAGAGAAGCAATTAGGGATGGAAGCAATTTAGCACATTTTTTCTCTTGATGAATCAAATTTATACAACGTAGATACTGTCTTTCTCTTCTCAGCATGTCAGGCTGTCACATCAGTTTGAACATTTAGTCCTTCAGGATGAAAGATTTGAGATCTGTGCTGAGGTTGTCTTGGGACTAGTCTGTTTTCGACTGAAGGTAAGGCAGCTAAGACCGCCTATTTCTTCTGTTGTGTTTTATAGCAATACAATAACCTGCAATTGAATATAGTTTTTGTAGTTAATATACTTAATTATTTTTAAAGAAAAGTAAAAGGATTTTATGGAGATCAAAGCAGATTAAAGGAAAAATCTTAAGACAATTTTGTTAAAAATAAATCAAATGCTTAAGAGAAATTCAAGCATATTAGGGTATGGAAATATAGAGTCAAGGCAAAAAAATGGTCTACCTAACCATACAAAAGGACTGTCATATTCTATGCTTGATGGACTTTGATGAAGATGGTTGTTTTAATATATTTTCCCAGACATTTTTGTATGATGTGTGAGTGTATGTGACTGTATGACATATTTCTTGTCAACTTAATTTTATGTGTGTGTGTATTTAATAACCAATTTTATATATATATATGACTAATATTAGTTGAAGATTAGAGTAGTAAACACTTTTTTGTTATTTTCTTTAAAGAATACATTTTAATTTATAAAATCCTACAGTCAGACCAGACAAATAGGAGCAAGATACGAGTAAGAACAGGTTGCATGGGAGGCCAGCTTCCCAGCTGCCCTTGGCCCTGGTCTGCTTTTTTTTTCTGAACATGATCCTTTCACCCTTGTTGGCCTTCTGTTCCCCAAGATTTCTGTAAGTGCCAAGTTTATTGACGTAGAGACCTTACCCAACAGAAACTCAAAGACTCACTCTGCTCTCACAGCATAAAAACTGCAGTAGTTGGGAGGCTCACTTGTTTAATCAGACATTAAAAGGGGGCCAGTGTCTTATTTTAGGTAAAGAACTCATTTAATAGAAGAGCTTGCAACCAAAGCCTCTGTAAAAGAGTGGATTGTGACACTGAGTCTGAACACCAAGCAATAATAAATAACAGCACTGGTGTTTCTAGTTCACATGATACCTAAATGAGCTTTTAGCTTTTCTGGAGGCTCACAAGCACATACTGGCTCCTTCTAGGTAGTGTGGTATTTCTACTTTTCACAAATTCTTTTCTCAGTCCTTCAGTTGCCCCAGTTACCTGAGTTTGATGCAATTGGCTAAAGGAGCTAGCAAATCTTTAACAATAAGGTATTGGTGAATTCATCTGGAATAGAAAAATGGGTTTGTTTGAACTTATGTTGCTTAAAATAAAATAAAATTAAATTAAAAAAAAAAAAAAGGTCTACTGCTATGGGATCAGACAGATTACAGAACATGGAGTTTTTCCATTAAGTGGAAACATTAATATAATTTTTTTCCTAACAAGCACTTTTAAAAGATTTTGAAGAATAGGTTCTGTGGCTTTTATTGTTCAGTAGCAAGATGTTGGTTGTAGTCTGTTCTGTCACACGGAACAAGCAAACACTAGTTTTGCAGATCCAGAGACAGCTGTTAGTCAGTGCTCTACTTTTACTTTAAAGGAACAGTCCCGGTGAAATAGAGCATAGCAATACAAGAATTGTCACTTTTGATCAGAGCAGTAGTTCATCTACCTCTATTCTCCTGTCCCTGATGATCCAGAGAAAGAAATCAGGTCTACAGGGAAAGGCAGTTTTACAAGAGAAGGTAAATATTGGACATGTAGCTAAGAAACTTTTGGACAAGTTGTAGAATAAAGGTGTGATTCTTCTGAAAACCAATGTTGAAACAGGAGTCTTTTCATCACTTGCCTTTCCAGTCCAAAAAAGAAAACAAAACTAACAAGTTTTTAAATGAAGAGTGGTTTATAGTTATATTTACAGCTTTATTTGCATTTTAAATCACTCTTTCAAAAATCTTCGATTTCTGCAATTTGTATTAAAATGCATCTTAGAAGTAGGATACTTGTAACTTTTATGTAATTACAGTAGGACTGAGGGACAGGGGACTTGAACTGTAATGTTGTACAGCTGTAAAAGTATGAAATATTTTTCCTTTGTTCTTCAGAAATCCTGTTTTATTTTTTTGCTTAGCTGTAACTTAATTTTTTGCCTTTCACACTGTTAAGCGTGTGCCTTTCATATTATATTTGATATATATATCAAATGTGTCATGTCAGAGGGTTAATTTTTGGCCTTCTTGTCATATCTGCAGATGAATACAAGTCAAGCTACTCATTTCTCCAAGGGGGTGAGAATACTGTCTTATTGAAGCTGACAGACTCAATCAGAGCTGGCTTCTCAAAGCTCTGAGAGAGGATTAGTCACTACTGACTTCAATTTGATGTGACACCCCAGTGTCACAGCAGCCCCTGGGTGCAGCTGTGAGAGTAGAACAGAAGAAGGATATATAAATCTTTCTCCTTCCTCCCCTCACCCCTGCCAAGGGCATTAACATCATATAACCGCTTGTATTGCCTAAAAGTTAGTGCTGTTCATTTCATATTAACAATGGCAAGGATCATCATTTTAATGATGGATTACCTTTGATAAGAAAGCAGTATGTCATTGTTACAGTGACTGACCCATAATGGGTAGGGACTTGAAAGGCACCAAAGTTGGTCCTTTTCTTAGTTAGGAACGTTTGAGTTGCATAAATATCTCCTAGAAGACTAAGGCTAAGCCATGAATTTCAGGCTGTCATCCAAATTCCCTAACAACTTGTGCTAAGTCAGCACAAGGCTTTGACTTAGGTTCAGCTCTAACTAAGATGATCTAAAACCATGAGAATAATGCATTTATCCTCAGTGCCAGTGGGAAACTGTGTCTCCCTCATGCTTTGTTTTATATGCAAAAAGGCTAAGCAGGCAAGTCACAACTGTGCAGATTTGAGAGAACATGTTTTCTGATATGTTTTCAAGAAGACCTGTGCTGCTACAGTAAGAAAACCGCTGCTGAATAGACAGATTTGTCCATTTGTGACTGTTTTACCACAGTGAGTGTTCTCCATAAGGGAGCTCTGCAGTAAAAGCACAGATGCTCCTTACATCTCTTGCAATTCTGTGTTACCAGCAGTGTAATAGAAAGAGTAAGGGCTGTACAACAGCTAAGATGCTTCCCTAAAGGATAAAATTATATCCCTCAAGATCAACATAGTATATCCTAAGCTATTACAGCCAACTGTCCAGCAAGGCTGAAGCCATCTCTCTGTCTGTTGATAAGAGTTAGAGAGGCGGGTTCCTTTAATTTGTGCAACAAAGACTGCCAAAGATAGGCAGCTAGCACTTCAAAAAATCACAAGATTTTGGGATCCCTTCTTTCTATATTTTCATTTAAAGTGATTTACTACTCTTTTTGAAAATCTGGTTACATCTTTTGTTTTATTCTCAAGTTGTGACAGACATAAACTAGAAAAATCATTGATACAACATTAGCTGAACTTGCAAAAGAACCAGTCCTCCTCCGTGCAATCCTATTTGTTTTGAGATTTGATATTAAGAACATACAGCTGCTCTAAGGGAAATCCTCACAGTCACTGTTTGAGCACAAGGGGAATGAAGTATATTAGAGGAGATAAAATTCAATTCAATACCACATGTGAGTCCCTCTGACCTTCTGCAAGATATTTAACATTCATATCTGTTTCCCGGAATGCAGAAGTTTATTTACTTCTGGTGGGAGGGTCAGTTTACCACATTTCTAAAATCTGCCCCCCAAAAAACACTCTGTAGAATTCTTGTGGCAGAGACTTCCTATAGAACTTGAGGCAAATAGTTTTTTTAGGGTTTCTACTGGTAGTATGCAACTTACTTACACCAGGGATACATTACCTTAACTATTTCATAATTAAGGGTAAGATCTCCATCTTCATGTTCAAAAGACTCTTTCACACAAGCCATGCTTAAGACTGGAAGGTTTGTTTTACAAATGTTAGTATAGTTCATTGCAAAGCTTCCTCCCACATTTGTTTGATTAGATCTAAGAAAAGTGTAATGAAAAGGATGCAATAATGAATAGCTCACGACCTTAGGTCACAAAAAAGCAGTCAGCTATCACAAATGCCCCAGTGTGAACACTGCTTCTAAACCCCAGTTAATCCATAAATCTCTTTGTGGCTGAGAAATTATCTCTTGCGCCATCATCTTTTTGTAATCCTTTGATGGCAAAGCACTGAGAGATGAGAAAGTGGTTGTGTGTTACTGGTGGTACTTGGGCTTGACTGCTTGGTGGGATTTACATATTCCAAACTTGCTTCTGAAATTCATCACCATATCTATTGAATTACAATGATTTCAGGGCTCAAATGAACTAAATAAGGCACTTCTTAAAAGCATAAATGAGGCCAAGAAGATTCATCTGGTCCCGTGCCACCTGCGAGAGACGTTTGTGCTACGTTTTGCTATTTGTTCCCGCACAGTGGAATCCACCCACATCAAGTTTGCCTGGCAGCACATCTCACAGCTGGCAACTGCTCTTCTGAAAACATGGGAGCAAAACCACCACCAGCAGTTACAGCAGTGATGTAGCAGTGGGGAGGAGATAATTAACTGGCTTTCTCTGTGTTGCCAAGTTTTATTTTAGGCTCAGGTGGGAAAGTCAAATTATGAAGGAAAAAAATGCAAACCTGTTGTTATATAGCCCAGCTACAGTAGCAAAATTCTTGCCAGCAAGTTGTGTCGTAACCTTAGTCATTTCTTCTCTGTACTGTATTTTCATCTTGCCTTTTTCCAGGATGCACATAGCCATGGGGGCTCCAGCTGTCATTTCTTACCAGTTTGTAATCAAAATGGAAGCGTTAGTGCTCCCTCCATCGTCCCCATTAACCCCTAGCACACCTACTCCTTTCTTCGTAGATGATACCATGAAACCATGAGGTGTTACAACCAAGTAATTTAACATTACTGTGACTTCAGAAAGAATCCAAGTTGGAGGTTAGTTCAGTAACCTGGTTATAACACTGCTCAGGTCCTGTCTAAACAGGGTACACACAGATCTTGTTGTCATTTGGGGCACTGTCATGTCATGACATGCTTGCTGCAGTAATTCTGTGAATGAAGTTAGGACTTCAGGACTTATACAGCCAGAGCAGGGGTGAGTGAGCACTAAATGAACACTAACCATCCTTGTGGCAGGTTCTCTACTTTCTCTAAAAGAGTTTGCTTTTAAACCAGCCATTTTGTCAAATCTCAGCAAATGGGTTATGCTGGCCATTGGTTTTCACTTTGATCATTCATAATGAGCCCTCTTAAAAGCTCCTTCTTAAGAATTTTGTCAAAAGCCATGTGCTACCCGGTATTCTATATTTTTAACCAAGTTATTATAAGCAGTGATTACTTGAAAATAATCTGTAAACTGTGTTCTGTAAACAGAGTTGTGATTTCTTTTTATGGCTACCATTCTGCTTACTTTGTTGTGTAATAAATCTTTGACACAATATGCTAAGAAATGTGATGGCAAAAATGTTACTCTTTGTTTCTGAAATTAGCTAACAAACAAGATAACAAATTACAATAAAAATAAAAATTAATAGAACTAGCCCCCAAAATAAGATCTGGTTCCCACATCAGTAGTTTTCTTCCATTAACAGTGATGCAAGGAATACAAAAATACTGGAAAACAATTAACCTTCAGAGTAAGTCAAATAATGTGTACTTGACACAAACCATTGATATGTCATCCTCTTGAAGGCAGGTACGGTCAAGAGGTGAAATCAAAGTCAGAAACACTATCTTACTTTAATAGTACTTCTGCCATTTTGAAAACACAAATTCCAGAAAGTTACTTCTGTGTAAATAAGAACAAATTAAATAGCTACTCCAAGAAAAATAATCTGTAGGATTAATTTCTAAATTTGCATTTGTTTTAATCTTTTCTTTTTACTGCTCGAATTAACTTCTAAAGCATCTAGAACAACTTGCACAATTATTCAGCTTTCCTCCTCCATCCTTTGCAAGCATACTTCCTACATTTGGGAAGTGGCAGGTAGACCACGAATCATGCACTGGGACAGTTAATTTGGCACATAGTCTGCTCCCACCCACTGTCTTTCCAGAAGGGATTAAAGCTGACTATGGACTAGGCAGATTTTTCTAGTGATTCCTCATCACCTCACTGCTGAGGTGCAAAATGGGGAAGGATTAGTCTTAATGTGTGTGCAAGTGGTGCATAAGAGATGTGCACGAATCCTGACACTTAGGAAAAATTGGCCAAGCTCTGCATTTCCAGCAGGTCACACTATGTGACTAGGGGAGGCGATGGCGTACTGCCCTTCTGTAAGGCTGTGTCATCCACCCAGATGGAAAAGCTCATTACTATTTCTTTAAGGAATTGATTTCACAGATGAAGCAAGGGAAGACAATCTGACAAAACCAAGTAATATTCAAGCGGGTGACTGAGGCATTCCATAAGACACAACTCTCAGCTCCAGTATCAGAAATTTTGATAGCATCATTTTCTTCAGTAGAACCAATATTAAATTAAGCTTTTCTATAGTATCACAATGCAGTAGATTGGTAGACTGAAGAGAGCGGAAAATGCTGGCAGTTATTTCCTTTCCCTGTTACTATTTTTTTTAAAACATTATTCAGTTCTCATGACTTGGGAAACAATGTTCATCCATAGCACATATAGAATCATAGAATCATAGACTGGTTTGGGTTGGAAGGGACCTTAAAGATCATTTAGTTCCAACCCCCCTGCCATGTGCAGGGACACCTTCCACTGGATCAGGTTGCTCAAAGCCCCGTCCAACCTGGCCTTGAACACTGCCAGGGAGGGGGCATGGTCCACACTGATAAAATTTTACAGCTTTTACATTATGAAAACACTAGAATCTAGGAGCCAGAGAAGAATTACACCTTCTCTGTGAGACAGACCACTATTTTGCATGTGAAATACATAACCAGGTCTGTCCAGAAAAAAAAAAAAAAGATATCAGATTCTGATCAAAGCTATCATGGAGTAAAGCCGGGATAATTCCACTGAAATGAAACAGAGTTGCCTGGGGCTTATATGACTATAATTGAAATTAGAATCTAACTAATAAGAATTGGAAAAAAATACATAAGGTGAAGGAAACACTAGACTGAACATAAGAGGATTTTGGTGGAAATCCTCTCCATGGAAACCAGAGCAGAGGTGGATGATGCACGCCTGTGTGAGCCTCAAACTGCTGTACAACAGGGACACAGGCAGGATACTCATCCAAACCCAGGAGAGGTGAAATATTCCCAGCAGCTCAGAATTAGACATAGGTCCCTCTAGGCATTTGTGGAAAAATGTTGGCAAAACTGACATTCAGTTACATTTTTCAGCATATGGGTATCAGTTTTAGAAAAGGCTGTTGTTCAGATACCAAAACTCCTTTTGCCAAAGAATTTAGATAAAGGTTAATTTAAAATATTATAAATGCAGTAGAAGTTAATTTATTTTTGTTTTTAAAGAAGTGACATAAGTAAATCTTCTAATAAACAGCAGTGACAAGGAATTATATTTCCCCATGGCCAGCCAAATACAGAAATCTGAAGTTCACAATTCTAGTTCTTCTGAAATTCTGGGATGATTTGAATAAGTAATTGGTGAAGGCTGCCTTAGTATTCAGTATCTCATACCCTCATAGTACCCCACATGGTAATTTCTTCATCAACTGTTAATGTGAGGTCATCTGAAAACGAAATCTGGGCTATGTAATCAACTCAAGAACAAAAGCGTTGAACATTTTGAAAGAAGAACGTAACTGCTGTTTGTCTTATGTAGCTTTGCAACATGTGTGTCAGTGCGAAATACTGTATTTATGGACAATTAATATGTGAACCTGGATTTATTGTGCCTTGTGTGCAAAAGCTAATACAATCTGTGCCAGTTAATGCTGTTTGATGTTAAAAATAATTAAAACATCTCAGAATAGTACTTTAGTAGAATATCCACATCTCAAGGGAGACAGTGCAGCTACTAGAGAAGGAGGGAAAAAAGTAACTTTTCGTAACTGTACTTTTTTTTTTAAACTAGTGGAGTGCTAGTACGATACTTACATTCTTAATAATATTGACAGATTATATTTTATTACTAGTGGTAAAATAGTGAAAAGATGTATTTATGAAAGTATTGCTAATATATTTATATGCTGAACTGCATTATAATTATTAAATTTCTAACCTCCTCTTGCCTTTGCATATAAGATTCTGCTCATAGTGGTTGTTTTGTTGTTGTCTCCTGTAAGGATACCATATTTGATGAGTGGTATCACATTGCAGTTGCCTTACAACAGCAATCTAATCCTTGAGACATCCCTAAACTAGAATTGCTCAAAGACAGGAGCAAATGAGAAATAATACTGAGAACACTGAACACCAGGGTGGTGGGGACAGATTAAATAACCATTGATGGATAATACCTACATAGCATACATAGACTCTATATGACCTAAATGTAAAAATAACCGGATGTTTAGTGCTATTATAATGTATGAGCTGTTGAGTTTCTTCAAAGTCTGTATCCAAAGCCTACTAAACAGACATGTGGGTTGTAATTGGCAGCATTAATAAATGGAAACAAAACGGTGACTATTGTCTGTATTTGCTCTTAACCAAGCTTTTCCCATTTTATTTGTGCCAGATGTGCTGTAAGGGGTCCAGCTTCCCCACTCAGGTCATGTCAGTGCCCTGATTTTCACCATCAGTGACTTTTTCTCAATGTGTTCTTTGAACAAATTACTTTGCAAATTAGAGTTCCTGCAGGAAGTTTCCTCCTCAGCAACATGAATCTGAAAAATGCCTGGCCACAACCAGGGTCAATGCCAACCCTTCTGTAAAGTTCTACACAGTCCTGCAGCTGGATCTGCCACTGGAGCCAGCTGCCCAGCTTTGGCTTTGGTTTGCAGCTCATGCGCCATCATGTAGGACAAGGCAGTGGCCCATTTCGTTAGCTCTGCCTGGCCGTAGCCTGTGTTCCCGAGGGGAGCTTGCAGCTGCAGGCTCTTTTTCTCCCTGCCCTTGTGCAACCCAAGGGAAATCAGGCAAGCACGCCTTGGTGGAAATTTGATGTCAGCAGTGTTATAAACTATAAATGTTAGCCCAATTTGGTCTTAGATGATAGCTTGCACAGTAGCGCAGACAGTTTGATATGCTGTCTGCACTAATGGTATAACAAGCTTGATGTATAACAAAAACCTGACAGTAACTGTAAGAAATGTTTCTCACGGGAAATTAAATGTTCACCCACACAGAAGTGACTGTGCTAATACCAGAGGGATAACTGCAGCATAGTGCACTAATTTGCATGTAGGTTGGTGCGCTAATTTGCATCTAGGTTGATGTGCTAATTTGAACGTGGGTTGGCGTGATCCAGCTAAAGACTCCACAACCACAGGATACATCTGCCTGGGCCACCATCCTTTGCCGTGTAAGGCATCATGTTATTCATCTCATCCCTCTGCCAGAGTGCTGCTACTGCTGCTGACAGCTTTGGGAGAGCTCTTCTCCCAAACAGGCCTCTTCATCAGCTCTTGTTCCCAAGGATGTTAGCATCAGTTCCTGATGCTGCCACGATGTCTGTGGTAGCCTTGTGGCCTGTGCCAGGGGGAGAAGTGAAATAGGCAGTCATGGTGGTCAGGTGCTGCATGTGCAAAAGTTGTGGCTGCCCATCACGACCACCTGAATCACCCGGTGAGCCAGGGCTTGCGCTTGGGCACATCTCCTGTGGAAATTGTCTCCCGTGAAACTGCCTCCACACACAGGGTGGTCACTGTGGGGAGAGCCTGGGGCTTCACTGGCCCAGCCTCCTCCAGACTGAATGAAGGGCACCCAGAGGGCCTTCCAGTTGAACGGAGGGGAGAGATCGGCGTGCAACTGGGCTCTGCCAATGGGAGCAGGTGAAATGCTGGGGTTTCAACCCCAAGCCCCAAATTAAGGTTGACATGTGGGTGATTCCCACAGCCCTTCACAAAGGGGGGTGAGTTTGCCTTTAGGTTTCCCTCCAGGGTGCGGCCGGCCTGGCAGGGAGAGCCATGGGGTAAATGAGCCCCAGGTGTCTGCAGTAAGTAACCAAAGGTCAGGTGTCCCACTTGGGGATAAAAGCTGGGACCACTTGCAGGAAGGGGTAGTGTTTGTCTGTGAGGTGGATGCACTTTACAGAGTTCCCTGTTGGGGAAGGACCTCCTGCCTCCCTGGGACTGGGCTCCAGTCAGGTCTGGTTCTTGTAAATGTGGGCTGTGTAGAGATTCAGTATGTGGCTTCCTTGGTCTTATGGATTTGGCTGATTGACCTGGTTGTCTCCTGTCCCTTCTATGGGAAACTGCATTTCACCATTTATTCCACCCGTTGTTGGTTGTGCAGTGTTGCTGTTGGGGTCAGTGGGATTGATGTCGATTATATATAATCTGACTTGTTTGTCCCCCCAGTGCTCATCCATGTACTGACCCTTTTGTATCAAATACAGTTTGGTTATTGGTTCATCTTTCTGCTGGCTGTGTCCTTTATGCTAGGCCTGATCATTAGCAAACCAGAGGGCTGCCCTACCATTTTGGGCAGCTATCGAGGTTCGACACAGGAGCCACGGCACTTCTGCTCCTGGGGTCACGGAACGTGTGTGCCCCACGGGAACACTTTCCTTCCACTTTCCATTTTCTGCTGCAATTGCAAGTAGCCCGGATAGGCAATAAACGCCACAAAATCTTTTAAATTCTCTCGCCTCTTCCTTCTTGACTGCTGTTAACCTTCAGCAGAAGAACCCAGCCTTTAGCACAGCAGTTTCTCGGGCCGGGCTGCGAGCGCCCTGCCGGGACTGCAGAGCGGCCGCCATCGGGGGCGGGGCCGGCTCACATCCCAGGGCACGGATCCTGCCTCTATTGGAGGGCGTTCGGCTGAGGCGCAGCCAATAGGGAGCAGGAGGCCCCGCGTGCCGCCCTCCCTCCCAGCGCCCCGGTAGGCCCGGGGGGATGACGTTGGCGCGGCGAACCTTCCCCCCTCCCACTCGGCCCTCTCTCCCGATCTCTGATTGGCTGCGCCTCCCAGAGCTCCGTTATGCGATTGGTGAGCGGCAGCGGGGCGGGGCGTGGGGCTGAGGGAGCGCGGGGCCC